ATTCAGAACTGCAAAAGTTATGAATGTTTGAAGATTCCAAAATCCTGTCTTCAAAGTCAAGGGCCAAATTTCAGGTATTGTTACAGCTGGGTTTTTGATGATTCTCAGCCTTTATTGTTAGTACATTAACCAATATCTGTGTGTAAAATACAAAAAAATACTCGTCATGACGCCACAACATCTAGGAACAAGGTGCATATTTTTTCAGATTTTTAGCTCTCTTCCTGTTGCCTCAGGACTTTTCTATGTCAGTAGTTTTCTTTACCGCCCGGTAAAGATGACATTTTGTGTAGTGTGATAAGGTCACATTCCTTATGAAAAAATGAATGTAATGTGAGCTCTGAGGGCACAGATCCCACCATAACAAGCATCATAGGATGGGTTTCTTTTACTTAAGGCCTTGGATACAAAGTCAATGTTCATCTTCTGAACATCATATCATCTTGTGTCAAACCGTAAGGTAATTAGGCAAGCACAGAGTATCCTTTCATCATAGAATCATCTCAAATTTTATTTAAATGTGAACTCATTGGTGTAATGTGAAAACCAACAGTGTTGTTGTAAAACAATTTTTTTGGTCGGTCACAGGTACCTATAATCAGAACATAAATGAAGTAAGACTAATGGTAAAAAGTAACATGATAAACATGGATATACATATAGGAGATGGTTTTTGTTCTTTTTGGTTTTTTTGGGTATTGATTTGGTTCTTGTTGATGGATATTCCTCTTCAATAGTTTATAATTGATGTTAATATGAAAGAAAACAAATAACATTCTACAACATGAAGATTTAAATTTGTCATTGGTCATAAACAAAAACAAAACTTGAGAAATCAATTTTTAACTATGTTAGCAAACTTAAAAAAACAATTAGTCCAAAGTCATTAAAGACGAAAGATGAATAGAGAAGAGAAGATGAAATCGGTGTATTTGATTTTATATGGGTCTTTATTAACATTTGATTTACTTTCAAACAAAATCAATTCCTTGGATCCTACCACTTTCGATCATTTCGGACCAGTTAGTTGTTTTTTGAGTGTTGATTATGCTTTCTTTTCTTTGGATTTTTCTTTGAAAGTTGTAAATTCTTCTGGTTTCGGCACTTCGATCTACAATTAAAGGTAAAAAGGTGATTAGAAATATGATGTGAACCATTTGACGAAACAAATCCAAGATAAACTTACAGATGGCCAATTGAATCAGCTATGAAGTGAACGATTGATTGAATCACTTTGAGATAGAGATGGATCAGAGAAAATTGGAGATTGAAGCAATCGATCACCAAGCTACTGATCTATCTTTGGTATCTACAAACAAACAAACAGTAAAACAAATGCATCAGCGTTCATGATCTTAAAATTTGACTAGAAGTGTCAAAGGAGAGAGCGAACAACATTGAAAACGAAAGAAGCGAGCAAGGGATGGGTTTGAACCTGTCAATCCCCATCCTTGCTGAGGAAAACTGTGGATCTTGAGCAGCCTGAACCTGTCAGTCCTGCACCACACAAAGCGAGCGAATGAAAGATAAAAAAGGGAACGAGATAAGGAGTTCGAAAGGGATTAAAGTGTTGGTTTCAGGGCTCAGGGAGCTCATACTTGAAGGACCGGTTGTTTGGCAGGGTTCTGAGTTGGACATAGCTTTGGGTAAACGGTACCGACTGCCGCTCAGACGGATCCGGTTTCAATAGGTTTTGATTAATGATATTGCTTTTATGTTTACACCTTTGAGTCTTGACTGGTTTAACGAGTTAAATCAGTGTCATATCTGTGACATGCAATAACATGTGACCTGATACTCGTGTGGGGTAAATCAAGCAAGATATCCAGGATCCTTTGTGAAATACAAGTGACAATGTACACACAGTGCTTGCGTCAGCACGTGAAATCCATTGCCCTTCTGTTATTCCTCAACGAACTCATCCTTGGTGCTGTCTTCCCTTCTGTCTCCATTAATTATCACCTCACTTGAATCTTGCCCCTCTAAACCACCGACTATCTCAATGCCTCGTTTGACTCGTACCTCTTCTCGCACGAATGGTCCTGCCGAACAAACTGCCTCACAACTTAACACAGGTTCCACAGCTACCACTAATGCTCAGTCCGGAAGCAAAAAGAAGTCAAGCAAAAAATCTAAACGTGTCACTCAAACTGAAACTCAAACTGAAACTCATCGTGAGGAGAATGAAGATGAAACACACACCAACCAAAACCACGATTCAACAATCAACCAAGACAATTCAGATTTAGATGAAGCCAATAATCTCACAGTTGACAATTACACACAACATATGGACGCCTGGCCTGCTGGTCGTATCCGCACTGCTATCAAAAAGTACAAATCTTCCACTGGGACTCGAGCAAGCAGCGAAGTTCAAGCTAAGGCACAACTTGCCCATTTAAAATACGAGCATGAGTTGTTGATGTTAGCACTGGTTGATAAAGTGCAACTACGGATTATCAAGAAAGCAATGTGATTCATTTATTTTGTTTATTAATTCATTCACATGGCATGCTGATTGATGATGTTTCCGATTTGATCCAGTGACGAAGTCGCACCCAAGAAGCCTTCTAGGAACCTTGACATGTACCTAGCGTATGCAAAAGACGCTCTATCCTTGTCTAGTAAGTTTTTCTGGATTCTAGCTTTAGTTTTGAGTTTCTGACATGTGCAAAAGTGCCCGGAAAAGGCCAGGAAGATGGGGGTGTTCAGTTAGGCGAAAGAAACCGAATCAACTCTGATTGCTGGAAAGCTCTAGACGACGATCACAAAGCAATTTTCTCCCCGTCACTATTCTATGCCTTAGCTGGAGCGCCCAACCCGTTTGCACCGAGTGAGAGCAAAGATCTTGATGATGAAGATGAGGATGTTGGAGATATTTTTGTACCATTACCAAAGGTTAGACGATTAACTGTGGAAGAAGAGGCAAAATATTGACCTATATATGAGAAGATGGTGGACAATGAACGTGTTTCAGCTAACATCTCAAAGCCAAAGGCAGGCCCCTCGGATGGGCTCCTTCAAAGGAAGTCACTGCGAGCATTTCAAAAGCATGCACATGAGGTGAGTATCGTTTGTCAAACACATCTTTTCATATTTGTTTGTCCTTACCAATGCCTGATCATCAACTTGTCTAATATGCTTGTGACGTTTCTTTTTACTTAGCTTGCATGTCTAGCAAATCGCCTCAATTTTGCGTATTATCTTGTGGGATCAAGCACCCTCACTCCAGATAAATCGAATGAATTGGGATGGACAAAGGAGTTTACTACCCACCGACAAGTTGCACGATGGGCCAACAAGACCAGCGGTTTGGCTCGGGTTTTCGCTACTTACGCGCAAGGTTCTGCGATGGCTGATGCCATTGCAGAAGCTACACAAGGACCGGTAAAAAAACTCAAGAGGCAACGCAGTGAGAAGCCTCAACGCAGTGACATTGTCAAGGTCCGACTTGGGAGAATGCTTGTTCAACTGACCGGTATATTCTGATTTGATTTCACTTTACCTCTCTGTTTCGTTGGCATGAATATGTATTGACATGTAGTTTTGTCGTATTGACGTTTATTTTTGTCACAGTCAAGGCTCTTGGCCGAAAACCGACTCAATCTTTCCCCCTGATTAAGACCCCAAGAGTGCTTTGATAAAACGAAAAGTCCCTGTTGAAATGGTTTGTTTAGAAGGTGTTACTTTGTCTGAGGAGGCCCTCATTTTAGGTTTTAAGAAAATGCGGACCGAGGATCGAGAAAAGTGGGTGGAAGACATCAAGGCTGGCCTTTTTCGTTTGAAAAACATCGAAGGAGTTGAAGAATCAGACTCTGAGGGAGTGGCTCTTAATGCCGAAGATTTGGCAGAGATTGAGAAATCAATGGATGAAGATCACAATATGAACGAAAAAGAAAAAACTGGTGGTAGTGATAGTGAAGACCATAATATGGAGGAAGAGGGGCAAGATGTTTGATTATTTCTCTTGTGTCCATGTTCTTCTATGTTGAAGTTGTTTTTTATAAAGTGATATTATTGAAATTGGAACAAATTTATTTAAATGTATTGAATTGATTTTTTGAATTTGATTTTTTCTTGAAATTGGCTCACTTTGAAATTGAGTTGTTTTTTGTTGGCTGTGACAAGTATCTTGATCCGGTGTGGGATTTCAACTATTGTGCTGAGCGCATTTTTGATATTGGATTGCTCAAAGTTTGATAGAATGAGAAGCAGTCAGACAGGTCTGTATATCTTGATTGGACAGCCTGGGTCTGGTTTTCTTCAATCAGACAAGTCTGGTAATTTGGGTATCACCAGACCTGTCTGAAGGTCCAGACCTGTCTGCTGTATGTCCATCATCCTTGGACAGGTCTGCTCAGAGCTGTCTGGCTGTATAGACATGTCCCAGACGGATCTGGATGCAAGACATGTCTGGACTTTTGTGTTGTTGTGGAAGACCACCAGACTTGTCTGACGCACTCAAAGTGTGTCAGACAGGTCTGGCTTTTTTTTTTTCGAAAATTTCAAGTCTTGGAAGGATTTTTTTTTAAATTTCTCATAGGCCTAATGTAGTTTCAAATGCACAAAAATGTGTTTCTTGATGGTGCAAATTCAAAAAAATTTCTACCTTGAGACAAAATGTACAACCAGGATCTGTCTGGCTTATCTGGCGTATCTGCCATGATGCGTTTCGGAAGCTATCCGTAGGTAGTCGCACATTTAACTCCGGGTAGGTCCCGAAGGCTTAAGGCGCCACAGGTGATAGTTTTCTATGTCAGTCAGAATTTTCTAAACCGTACGGAAAAGATGCACTTTGGTGTAGTGTTTGGTACCGGGAATTTCATACTCAAAGACTCAATCTCTTTCCTGGCCATGAGCAAGCTTCTGTCGGCAACTGTTGTCGTCAAATGAGAGCTCTTCTACTGATGCGAGGCTGAGCATGTGCGTGATGTTGCGCCGAGGTGTGTAGGTAGGCAGTGAACTCGTGAGCAGGATCACCGGCGGTCGGCGTCCGACTCCGATATCATAGAGCAAGTGATGTTTGGAAAGGAGCCCTTCTTCCTATAAATGCTGCCTGTCTCGTTTTGTCTTTGATATCTAAACTCCTAATTTCATTTGCCATCCTGACCAATTAGCTTGAAATAATTCTGCATAACAATACGCTTGATACACTTCCTGAATTCTTCTCAATCATCCTCTCCTCACGTATCTCTAATCTTTCAAGATAATGCTTGCCAAAATTGCTTTTGTGTTGCTTACCCTGGGATTTGAGTCCACGATGATTGCTGAAGTCAACTCCGCAAACACCCTGAGTTCAAGTACATGTCACGAATTGTTTTCAGGGACTCTCAAGAACGCTCGTGAGTAAGATTGCTGCAAGGAGCAACCACTTTATTAAGATGTAAAATCTAACAGTGCCTTGCATCTTGGAATAGGATGCGTTTCTGGTGGCATTCCAGGCACTGAAATCAATTATCATTGTTCTGATTGTCATGGTGTTCCACCTAGTAAGTCTCAAACTAGCTATCAGCAATTCCTTGACTGAATTATTATGATCTCCTGGAAATTAGCGGGACAATGGTGCCTGTTCACCAATGGAGCGTTTCCGAACATAGGCATCCCCAATGAGAGCACGGTTTTTCGCGGTGAACGCTCCAAACCAAATGTAGCTTGCGCCAATTACAAAAGAGTTTACCGTGGGGGTAAAAGTATTGGATTTGGTAAGCTATATATAGATATATAGATCACCATTGTGTTTGCAAAACATCTCATTCAAAGTTTCCTTTTCAGCTTGTTCCCTAAAAGAAAACTTGGCTCCAACTCATTGGTGCAATGCTCTCAACGCAGGAACAATGTACGTCTCAATCCACTACATAATCTGCAAAATCTACTTCCAAGCTGATGAATGCTTCAACAAAATACACGATTTTGATATGAATTATATCCACAGTCGAAGTGAGTGATAATTCCGGTTCTTTTCAGAGGTTTACTCTTCTTCTCAGCGTGTTTGAGCAAGTTCACTACATGCGCTATAAAGTTTTACGACTTTTCAGCTTCGTAATTTGGCAGAGACACATTTCCAAAAAAAAAATGCTGATGTTCCAACAATCTTTTCAGGCTGTGACAAATGTCTGAAGACAGGTAAATACACACACCGGAATGTTTAGGTGGGATTTTGGCCTAGCCTTGTGCTTTTAATTTGATAGGTGATGTTGTGTGTCAAACAAGAAATCATGTGCCTCTGTGTTACTTATTCAGAGAATCCTGTGTGGAACTTCAAACCTTGAAGTTCATGCCACAATTGGTTATCACTTGCTGTCTTTGTCACATTTTCAGAATCAACAATCTTGTTATCAAACTTGCTCAGCCCTCTTCCAATATTCATCTTTCAGACTATTTCAACCCTGGTGTTCAAACTCTATGCCTACCTCAAAGTGCTTCTTCACATAGTAATGAAATAGAAAAGGCTAGGTGACTGGTAGCAATCACATATTAGTGATATATGGAAGTGCTACGTCTATAGATCACTAAGAAGTGATAGAGAGACATAGGCAGCTGGTAGGAAGCACATATTAGTGATATATGGAAGTGCTACGGCTATAGATCACTAAAAAGTGATAGAGAGACATAGGCAGCTGGTAGGAAGCACATATTAGTGATATATAAAGGTGCTATGACTATTGATCACTAAGAAGTGATAGAGAGACATGGGCAGCTGGTATGAAGCACATATTAGTGATATATAAAAGTGCTACAGCTATAAATCACTAAGAAGTGATAGAGAGAAACGGGCACCTGTTGTAAGGTTACACATTTAAAAGGATAAGATAATTGAGAAAAGAAAAACAAATGAAGCACACCAAAAAAGAGTCTTGACATAGTGGATGAATTCTCTAAACATGGATCAAGCAAACATATATGATCATGAATTTTATGCACCACATTGGGATTAGTTGCTAGAAGGCCTAAAAGGTAAAGATAAATGAACATGAAATATAAAAGATGAAACATGTTCAAAGCAGACAAGTAGGATACTCCCACACCCAATAACCAGAGGACCCCATCCACCACTGTGCTTTCAATTGTCACATTAGATGGTCTCTACATCACCAACCACCAGTGTCACAAATGTCGCTGAATTGCGAGTCTTTTTTCATCCCCTCGACTACATCCCCAGATAAATTGCCTCTTCATGTGAGACAAAATTCCCTTTTCTCATCTCTTTTGTGCGGCTGTGACCCCAGACAGGCCAGTGTGTCTTGGTAGATACAACCACCTAGTCCTATCAGTAGATTACCTGTACAAAGGGAAAACAATTGCTCAATTTCAATACCTATTGAGGTTGCCAGTCATCACATGCACAATTTCCCAATGGCACACTTTATACCAATCAACTTACTTGGTTGTTTGCAAACCCAAAAACTATGAAACCCTCTGGAGGGAGAGTGCTCTCACAGACAAAGATCAAGACTCTATTCTTGATCTGCTTAATGTTAATTGTGGTCCTGGACCTGACTTGGACAAATATTGGCACACTGTGTATTATTGGACCAGAACTTGGCTCTGACTCACAACCATTGCCAAGGACCTTAAGACCCTTCAATTTTACTGTCAAGGAGTCTTGGAATGTGTACCCAAGTCAAAGTGATTTGAAGCATGCTAAATATCTACATGTGGTGGAAGGCCTTACACCCAATATGCTTGTGTTTCTAGGTGATCAGCTGAGTATCTCCTATTTCTTTGTATCTATGCCCCAGTAGCCAAACACTAAATTTATCTCCCACATGGATGAACATCAATTCAAGAGCAATTTCTCAGAGGAGAAGATGGACATGCAGTTTGCAAGAAGTTTACCAAACAAGTTCCTTGAAGGCGCAGTGGTAAACAGTCCTATCTCCTACTGGCCATCTTCAGGGGTGGATTTTTGGCTGTGAACTTCCAAGAAGGCAGCTATGTCCACAAGGACTTTGAGGTCTTTCTCAAGCATTGGCTGGTATGTTCCTTTTTTTCTGGCCTGTTTCAAGTTGTTTGATGTGTTGATGTGTGGAGATGATCAGTTGCTAGCCATGAATTCATATCCACAAGCAAACTCAGTATTAGTATTCCACAATTGTTGAATCCATCAATGTAGCAGGTGCCCAAAGGCACGACGGCACCTGCGTGTTCCATGAAAAAGGAAATAGGAACGCAGAGCTCGGGCAGACTTGGTACTAGAGGAACGAAGTACCGAGGGAGAATGGGGAAAGGAATTTCCCCAACGGAAACTAATTTTGGTAAAGAGGACTCTCTCGTTTACCAAAATTACTTCCTCACACTTACTCACTCAGATCATCACATTGCAAGAAGCAAGAGTAAGAAGTCTCACTATTTCTTTAAAAAAAAAATTCTTTTCCTCCCACCCGCCCCTGCACCCTACCTCGCAGAGAGCCTACCCGGTCAGAAAACCAGCGGCCTGTCGGCCCCCCCCACACACGTGAAGAGACTTAGATGTGTCTAAGTTTCATCACTAATGGTAATCTGATTATGGTAGTTAAGTACGTGAATAAAAAGTAATGATATAATAGTAAAACAATGAAATATTAGAAATAAAACAGAAAGAGGAAAATGAGATAAGAACATACAAAAGAAAAACCTGCCCCACAAAGAAATGTGAGACTCCGGTTGATGGATGGAGGACAATTGGCTGAGCTAGCTGAAGAGGAAGGTATACAAATAATTCCCCTTCCACCATACTCACTTGACCTCAATCCCATGGTGAAAGATTTCTCAGTCCTCAAGTCTCACTTTTGAAGAACCCAAAGCCTCATCAAAACCCCAATTGGAGAGAGAGTAGACTTGATCATTGAGAAGACTCAGGGGTGTCTTTGGCACACTCATGCATTGATTTTTCTTGGGCTTTTATTTGCATATATTGATCCAGGTAAATCCAGGGTGAGTTTAATGTTTCAAAACACCATTACAAAAACCATAAACATATATTCAGTGTAATCATAAATAGACCTAAGCAGCTATTATATCTTTTCAAAGTCTTCACGCACATAACTGGCTCCCTAGGGAATCTTTGACTGATTTATATTCATCTCCTTTGGAGCCAGCTTTTGAATTATAATTTTTATTGGCATTATAATCAGTCAGGACCACTCTGTGGTATCCAGTTCACTCCGCTCACGTTTACAAGTGCTATCAAGATCATTCAGGTGAAGGGCTTTCAGAAGTTCCTTACAGTGAGCCATTGTTGAATTCACCGTGTTCACACCAGGTAACCCATTGCACTAAAACTAAATTGGCAAATCTTAAGTCAGCATCATGTAGGAAGTATCATACAGATTATTGAGAAACAAAGTAAAAGATAGAGCATGAATGAGCCTGGCCTAGCTAGTAGCCCACATGTGTATGCTCAAAGTATTGCAGAGGAATACTTGGTTTGCATCTTTGGGATTGATGACTGAGCTGAAATTATCCATGGACTTGAAGTCATTTTGAAACCACTGCATGCAAGTCCAAAGTTTATCTTCACCAGAGCTAAGAATGACAGACTGTGAAAGAACTGTGTCAGTACATCTTGCAGTATAAGAGAAGGATTGACTTGAACTCATGGTCAGTAATGGACACCTTGTCCTTTCCTTTATGGTTCTTAGACATGTTGATGAAACCCTGGATGGCATGTTTGCTGGCTTGCCACACTAGAGAGCTTCAGATATACAGGCAAAAACAAATAGCAAGAGAGGAAAATTGACCGGTTGAAAACTACAATGGCAATATGTTTGGCTTGGGGAGTAAGTTTGGTCAATATTTTTGGACTGTAGTTCAGGATTGTCAAGCTTGGTTACCACAAGTTGCCAAATTTTGAATCAGCCCGCAAAGGTTTGTTCTTCATCAGGGTCAACAGTTGAAGGCACCGTGTCCTTGTGGCAGTTGCCCGACGACGAGAGCACACGGACATGGTGAGGGGCGGTGCAGGAGTTAGGAGGGGAAGGAGTAGGAGCAGAAGGTCCAGAAAAGCTTGGTTCATCAGAAACCTAAAGGGCAACCTCTAAAAACATAATAAAAAGTGGTATCAGTAGGGAAATCATCCTCAATTCAGACACAGTCAATGCTTACCATTGGTCATATATCCCATCTTGTCCTTGTTGTAACAAGAATCCATTTCAGTAGCCGGTCTCTTGAGAGGAGATCTTTGGGCCGCATGAGATTCTGATGATAAGGCAGGGTTCAAGGTGGACAGTGGTGTGGATTGAAATGAGGGGGAGGAGGTAAGGATGAAAGTGTTGATATCAGGATTGAGAGAGGAGACATAGACCAAGGAAGATTGTGAGCTTCTGGAAAGAGCATAGTGTGGTAGACTACAGCTCAATGCATAGTTGACCAAGGTTTCAATTGTGTTAGATGGTCCATAAGGGGGGGTGTCTGGACTGGGGAACACTACAGGTATACAAATAACATTCTGGAAATTTCCAGACAACTTTTTCCAGAACAACAGAAGCCTCCTGGTGTTCTGGAAAACACACAGTGTTGATCATTCAAAGCTTCAGAACACCATAACACTGCACAGATGTAGTATTTTTCGGCTATGCAAAATGATTAGAATTAATGTCAAAAATGATTAAAAATGCTATGTTAATGCATAAAAATGCACCATTAATGCACCATTAATGAAAAAAAATGCAGCATCAATGCAGAAAAATGCAGTGTTAATGCACATGAAGAATGAATGCAGAATTCCACCTTTTTCAATTTTGTTTGTCCTTCAGGTCAATCATTTTTCACTTGGGAAAAATACTACATTTGCCCAGTGTAAGGTCAGAACAATCCAAATAAAAAACATCTGGTGTTCTGGGAAAACCCTTCTGGAAATTTCCAGAACCATACTTGTACTATACATTAATTGTACTGCATGGAAATTGAAGAGGCGCAAGAAATCTTACACAAAGAGAGTCAATGAAACGATGAATGGTCATAGACAAATCAAAAACCTCACCAGGCTGTGGTACTGGCAATGGCAAAGTTGGATGGCACAAGTTGAGCCATCAATGGTGAGACCCTACAGAAACACCTAAAGAATGAGATGTGTGAATCAAAGGGCCTAAAAAGCAGATTAACTCAATGATTCAGAGAATCCAGATCAGAAACAAACCCAAACAAAAATCCCAGTCTATAATATCTTGCAGTACACTGAAAGACGTTTATAAGGGATGAAGTTCTTGATTATAGTATGTATATAAAGAGAGCTTCAATGAATTTCTTTCATAGTAAGTTTTTAAAGAAAGAAACACTACGCCAAATTGAAAATTTACCGCTGAGTTTAGAAAATTGAGCAGACATAGAAAATTATGGAAAAGCTGGGAGGGGTCAGAAAAATATGAAAAAATATTGATCGGGCCCTTTGGTGCATTCCGATCATCTGGCAACCATGATGAATATGAAGTAGATGAAATATTAAACAAGAGAAAATTACGCAAAAGAATTGAATACTTAGTTAGCTGGAAAGGCTATGGAACAAATCATGACTCGTGGGAACCAGAAGAAAACTTAATCAACTCAAAAGAATTAGTAAAAGAATTCAATATCAAATATCCGCAAGCTGAAAAGAAATACTTTAGGACGAGGAGAAGATGAGAGAGAGGGTGAGCTTTTTTCCCACTGGGTTTTTAATGCCAACCCGTGGAAAGATACCTAACTCGTCAAGAGGGAGTGGAGGTATAAAGGGGGAATGGTGTTATGGTCCCTTTAGTAGCATATGCTTGTACTCGCACAGTTGACTATTAGTCTGCGCACGCTCTCACTGAGCTGTTAGTCTTCACGTTGCAATCCAGTTATCAAGCCATCACCATCCTTGCCTCCTTGTCGACATCACGCCGTCCAGGTCACAACAATCTCAGCACAAAAGCATTAAGGGGTTTCAAGTCAGTTCTTTTTTTGCATATTTTTATGCTACAACAACTTGCCTTTTGTTGTAAAAGTAAAATATGCATAATTTTTTTTGATGAACAATTTGTCCAAATTTCAAAGATTATGCAAAAAAAAACAGACTTGAAACCCCTCAATGTAGAACTCTGTGTGGCCTGAGGGAGTAGCAACTTGAGCTACTCTCTGAAGGTTAATACATATGAGGAACTATGTAATGTATTCTTAGTGTGATATACAATATATTAAGGCCCCTCTTCTACATCACCACTTTCCCTGAGTATGATGCCCAACTAGTGAGAAACAAGAATTTTGTCAATATTGACAATGGACATTTAACATAGTCTCTTGCAGGTGGTCAAACCCAAAGCCTGTGTAGGGACTTACACAAAATGTAGCTCTACTGGTGTGAGAGGTTGTGAGATTTATGTAGTAGGGAAACCCTGTCACAAAATGTAAGGTTATTACATGCCGTTTGGGGAAATCAAATTTTGCTGGTTCCAAGCAACACACTCTGCTCAGATCCTTCACACCTTTCACCATTCTCAAGATTTTTTTGATGCTCAACAATCTTATATTCAATTTTTAACTAAAGAGGACAGTGTTACACAAGAACATGAATGTATGTCAAACTTGAAAAGCCACAAATTGGATCACAATGAAAACCTGAGAATGGCTCAAGATAATAGATATAGATGATACAAATCAAGGGTTGTAGAACTTCTCATTGTTCTAGAAGAATTTCAAAAATCTATGCTGTGCCAGAAGGTTTTCCTTTGGTCTATTTTCTTCCTACTATGTAGATCTCACAACCTCTCACACCAGGAAGGCCACATTTTTCATAAGTCCCTACACAGGCTTTGGGTTTAACTTTTACTGCCTGCAAGGGACTTTGTTACAATAATATCTAGTCAATCTCATGATACACTGAACCATAGCTTACTGATAGTGATTGAGGGGTTGACTATAGCTACTCTTTGGGATTATGAACACCCCAGGGCCCAGAATTTTCTATAAGTGTTGATAAGGTCTAGATGTTTTTTTTTCCTTGAATTAGCTAAATACAAAATAAGTTGCACCTGGTTGCACTTAACATATCTTATGTCTATGTCCTTAAGGGTTTAATCCTGTTTGATCAACCTCGTACATACGTACATAATATGTAGTATGTACATAAAACTATGTTCCCTCAGCATGAGCCCCGCTCGCTCGGGAGCGGGGACCGGCGAAAATCCACCCCGAGCACTTTTTGGAAATGCATCCTGGCTTCCGAGCCGACCCCTCCCCGTCGGGGATGTTCATGTACGTCTTCAGACCGTCCCCCGCCACCGAAAATTGGGGGCCTACCGAAATATTGGTTCCCCGTTGGTTCCCCGTCGAGTGTTAGTCGGTAGAGCTTGCTAGATCAAAAAAATTCATAAATCTGCTTCACGAGCAAGTTCCGGCTGATATTCTACTGTTTCGTACAGGTATTTCATTGTATTTGATTCCTTATACTGATGTATGAGTTGTTACGAGGCCTTCCTCACCTTTCATTTCTCCCTATCTGCCCTCGATTCTACAGCTCTCTGCTATAGCTCGGTTCCCCGATAAAAACCGGGGATCCTCATACTCTTGCCCGGTCCCCGCTCCGTCGGAGTCGGTACGGTGCCGGGGGGCTGAGATACCTAGCCCGAGGCACCGTACCGACGGTACGGAAGCCGGAGATCCCCGAGCCCGCGGGAAACGGGGCTCATGCTGAATGTTCCCAGATCTTCCCGCTCAAAACATCAGAAGATGTCAGAAATATTCGAACCTGTATGAAATTATATATACCCAATTTAAAACAGATCGGCAAAGATCGGCGCACGTAGATCACTTTTCTTCTTGCTTTACACAATTCGAAAAAGATGACGATCGGTGAACGAAAAGTTTCATTAGTGATTTTGATTTGAACTACGATTTGAGCAGAAAATGAAGTTTATGATTCCAGCTTCTAGAATCTTTTTGAACCCTACATACTTTTTGCTTTGAACGCCTTGTGAGATTTCAAAGTATTCATAAAGGGAATGTAAGAATCGAAACAGAAATCGTTCTAGAATCTAGAGTGGATAAAGGTCGGCTTTTATCTCAGTGTTATTTCACTTATGTATGTAAGACCTGCAGGATTGGAATCTTGAATTGATCAGGTGGATCTATAAGCTGTGGGTGGATTGAATTGAATTGAAGTATAAGATACAGGTTTAAGAATCGGTCGATGAGGAGAAATCGAATGTACAATTATTTTTTGCGTAAAGATTAATATCACTGCTCATCAAGCGTGATTTATGATTTGAAGAAATTTAAGAAAGTGGATTTAATGAGGTTACAACATTAATATTTTGGTAGTCTTTAAATCAATTTTCTCATCACGATTTGTTTTTGAAGAGAAAGTTTAATGAATTGTGAAGGTTAAGTTTAGATTGATAAGTTTGAAACTTTGTAAATGTAACATCACCTTGATCGAAGTTCGAACAAATTGAATGAAAATGCCTAACAATTCATGAAAAAGAACATATTTAACTTGGTGGTAGAGTCAGATTTATAAAACATTATACCCAAACCATTCATCAGATTCAACAATTACGTACCGATACCTGGTTCTGCATTAATTCTCAATCGATGATCATTCTTTCCTTGATAAGTTTGAATAACTCTTAAAATCAACTTCAGACTCTGATTACAGTCTGATTGTCTGTTTACCAAATCGGAAATCTAAAAACCCATTCTTAAAGTTTTGAGATAAAACCGTTTTAGAAACTTTGACTGCAGCCAGTATACAACACCCTTACCCAAAAAACTACTTCGCTTAAGCAAAAAAAAAAAAAAAAACCTTCGATCTTCTCCTTGCCCTTTCCTTGATCTTCTTGATATTTACTTTTTTGATCTTGTCCCTCTAGAACCTTATTATCACCACGAGAAAATCAAGATCGGATTAGATTTCTTCACAGTCTATGAGTCACTACTACACACTGAAAAGCTTTGTTTTGATTTTTGTGAAATTAGTTTGCTACAATTCCAATTTATCTGACAAAAAAAAAGCTTTAAATAATTCATTTTTTTTCTTTCAAGGTTCTTGATGATGATGATTTGATGATATCCGATTCTTATTTTCTAGAAACTATATCGTATATCTTTATGATTCAACTAATTTAAAGTCACCATAGATCTTGTTCAGTTCAAAATCAAAATCAATCACTACTATCATATAAGCTGAAAAAAAGGAAACCATTCAAGAAACCGTGTACAAGTTTGCTTGAAGTCTTCGATCGATTGTTTTATACAAACTCAAAAGCTGATGTCAATGAGATCCGATCCACTTCTTACTCGATTTATTGATCCAAGCAATCCAACCAACACCACGAAACCATCATCAACCAATCCTACTCCCACTACCGCTACTACTACTACTACTAGTACTACTAACTTGTGTCTAAACCTGAACTCGAACCAAAAAATAAACCAATCTCTTCACAACCCAATGAACAATATCACCAACTACTCCAACCCGATCGCTTTTGCTCACCATAACCCTTCTTCACATCTTTATTCGGTTCATCTTTCTAGACCACTTCCTATTACATTCCATCATCCTAATCCGTTGTGTAGATCGGATCTTCATCAGGCTTGGATTGATGCTTTACCAAACGAATTGTTGGTCGAGATCTTCAAGTTGTTGCCTTCTTTGGATGAATCTCTCGATCTGCTTTCAGTTTCATTAGTTTGTCGAAAATGGAGAGCTCCAGCCCAATCGGTGTAAGCATCCATCCGAAAACTTACTCAAACCTCCGAATACACCATATATCCAAAAATTCCTCAATCCCCAAACCTGTTCCCTCAAGTCAAATCCGTTCAATCAACTAATCTCTTTCTCGAATTTTTGTTGGGTTTAGGTTATGGAAATACTTAAGATTTCCTAATGTAGAATGTGTCACATGTTTTGCAGAAGCATCAAAACTTCGACCAGACTTAGCAAAACTATCTCGAAGATTAAACTTTTCGACTGACGAACCCGAATATTTAGCTTGTTTAGATGCAGATGCAGTTTTCACTTCAATGGAATCTTTAACCGGACTTGAAAGGTTTGAAGTCACTGTACCTTATGCAAGTTGAGTGAATGAAAACCCCTTTCCTTACCCCATTTCATCCACTAAACCTTTTTGGGTTTTTTTTCTTTCGAAGGTGGTGAATTGTATGATTCATTGTGTGAAGAATTATCAGCTGCTCCAATTAAAGAAGTCTTGTTATCTGCAGAAGAAGGGATAGGTAGAAGACATGTTCAAGCTTCAATGAGGTTTCCTCAGATCACTTACCTACAACTCGTTAGACTTGGTGAACTTGGTGATCTAGAAACTTTGGCTGAGGAATGGCCTTCTACTTCAAACTTGACTGAATTAGTCTTAGTGAATCCTGATTTACCTGGTACGTTTACCAAAGACCCAATCACTTTTCCACTCTCTCTTGATTCGCATGGGTTCTGATTCGCATGGGTTCTGATTTCATGGGTTTTTTGGATTTGGGTTTTTTGGGTTTGGGTTTGGGTTTGGGTTTAGGTGAAGATTTGAACTTTCTTTTGAGTTATACAAGACCTACACTTAAGAAATTGTCAATCGATTTCGGTGACTCGGCTCCTGATGAAAGTCAACTAACTGAAGAAGATGTTTCAGAAGCTTTAATTCAATCAGGTGGAGAACTCGAAGAATTAGTAATCATCTGGCCAAATGTCACTTATCCATTCTTAAACCAAGTCAGTCATTTTTTTCTACCTATTTCTTTGGTATGACTTTAACGGTTTTTTTGGGATGGCTTTAACGGGGGTTTTTTTAGGCTGTGAGTGGACTGGGAAAACTTAGACATCTTACGATTGGAGGGATCACATGTGATGATCAAATGGATAGAAACTGTCCAGCTAGTTTGATCAGTATGACTTTACATATCAATGTTGGATTTGATCCTTCAAAGTATTTTGAGAAGTTTTGGGATCCTACTTTTAGAAGATCTAATTTGAGTAGGTATTTTATTGTGACTAGAAAAGAAGAAGGTAAGACCTATTTATAATCTTTTTTTTGGAGTCTCAGGATAGGATTATTGATTTTGATTTCTTTTTTGGGGGGTTTGGGTTTTGGGTTTTTTAGGATTGGGAGATGGGATGGGTTGGAATGATATGATGGTTGGCGAATGGAAAGAGTGTGCTAGGAAACTTAAACTTACGGGGATCGTTATGACGGGTGATTTCTTTTGAACTAAAACTAAATAACAAATTATTAAGAGTGTAAGATTTTTGGATTCGTCTTCTTTATTTTCTTGGTTTATTTTCTTGGTTTTTCTTCTTCTTGGTTTCTTTTGCTTGGTTTCTTTTTCTTGGTTTCTTTTTCTTGGTTTCTTTTGCTTGGTTTATCAAAAGGTTTGTTAAAGGTTTGTATTAAGATATTTGAAAAATGGGTTAACTTGAGTAGATTGGCTAAAAAATCGTCTTGTAAAGAACTTCAAAAAAAATGAAGTAAAAAAAACAAAATGTGTTGAGGGTTTTTTTATGATTATTATTCTTATGGTACAAATACACATGGATTTTTTTTTGGATTTTTTCTTTTGTTTATTTATTTATTTATTTAATTTAGCAAAAAAATGAAAAAAATGAGGTTTGTGAAAATTGGAAAATGGTTTGTTTGTATGATTTTTTTGGTTTTTGGTTTTTCTTCTTGGTTTTGGTTTTGGTCTTGAAATTGGTTTTGAAATTGGTTTTGAAATTGAGGAATCTGGAGTTTTGAAAATTCAAGATCAGTTTTTTTAAAGGAGTCCAATTTCAAGTGTTTTTTCTGGGTTGCAAAAAAAAGTTGTTATGTGGTTTGTTTATATAGATTTTGATATGATATGTTAGTATTGTTTTTTTTCTTGTCTTGTAAAGATATTGAAAAAACAATTGAAAAAAACTTGTCTATAAATTTCCAGAAACCAAACCTGAGACTCATGATGCATGTATGTATGATATGTGATGAATTTTCTTCATTTTTTTCACACACACTGACACACACAGGTCTTACTACATTTTAGAGGTGGGTGTGAGGTGTAAGGTCCATTAAGTTTATGGGATTGAGAAGTTGTTTATGGGTTTTGTGAGTATCTGTATCAGAAGTCTAAAATGTGGGAATACTTGAAAAGTGATCAATTAACACAAGTATTTCAAAAAGGTACATATATACTCTGATGGAGTTCTTATCTACAATAGTTTATTCATTTCTCTTCTTTGTAGACCATAGTGGACGGTCAAGTCAGTTTTCAAAATGGGGTTTCTTCCCTTAGGCTTAAGGTTGAACTTGACAGATGTAAGGAGAAAGAGGATTTGTTGAGTTTTCTTTTGATTGTATGGTTTACAGGAGAGTATTGAGTATGATTGGAACCACCAAGTATTTGTTGTTGTGATTTACTGTCAAACAGACAAAGTATGGTAGACCCATCTCATGTTGTAAGCCAACATAAAGTTTCTAAAATGCCAATTATGGATATTGCATAGAATCATTGTTCCTTATAGGTTTTTGGATGCCTCTCTGCTTTGAGATGTTTTCTTGTTTTAAAGTAACTTCAGCTAAACAACAGATCCACCATTGGTCAATCTGTCCAGAGTGTCTCAGCATAAAGTATGGTGGCTACATGAAGTTGACTGGCTTGCCTGGTACTACAAGTATTAATGCTCTGTCAATCTATGAATGTATTTGGCCCAAAGACTAGATACTGAATGTCAAGAAGCTCATACAACCAACCCCTTGGGAACCATCAGTGCACAACTACCAGAAAACTGTGATGAAAGTGGTTTCCTGCAGTACCAAAATCACCTGGAAAAATGGAGCTAAGGATTGTTAACTTATTAAAAGAATCAACTCTACTTGACAGGAAATCATTAAGAACCTCAAAGCATCTAGAACTCATTTGATAAAATGTACCTCAATGACATTCAAAAAGGGAAGCTCTTTGAATTTTTCTGTCCTGCCTATTCTCACCAAAAGTATCACTATCAACAATGATGATTCAATTGTATGGATACATGACTTTTGATATCATCACAGGCAGATCAGTTTCAAAGTTTTGAGAACCACCTGGATTTGTTGTGTCATTTCTGAGTCTCCAAGTTTTTTCTTGATTTTCAATCCTAGAGTTTTTCATTGGTCAATATTCTCTCTTCTTTATTGGATCCATCATCTTGTATATTTTTGTACCTCTAATCAAATATGACTGTTCTGCCTATTGATTTTTTTGTGTGATCAGAAGGTGAAGGATCTTGCTTCTTCCCAGCATGGTCCCATCTTTGGCCAAAGAATTCCTTTGTCCAGAAGGGTTGCTGAGGAGATCTTGAGCTCAAGTGTATTTTGAGGTCTTCAGCCCAATGAACCAGAAGTACTTGCTGCGGTTGATTTATAATCAGGTTGTATGATCAATTCACCATGAATCATTTTTTTCAACTCACCCATAAGGTTGAGCATTGGAATGAATTTGTAGAATTCAATTCATTTAGAAAGAAAGGTATTATAAAATCAGAACTGTCTGCTGATTTATAATATTTTCTTCATGATAGTCCTCAGTGCTCACCTTGGCTGAATTTGAATTGATTGTCATTCATTTGATTGTTGTAAAAGTTCCTTTATTCTTGAATTGGGTTGATCTTGTTCAAGTGTTTAATAATATATGAGGGTATGAGTGTGGAATTCCAATGGCATGTTTCTTCAGCTTTTGAACAATGAGAAATGGGCACTTCTTGAATGAAGATCTGTGTGGTACTAGAGACAGGGTCGACAAAGATGATGCACTGATTAGGTTCTCTACTTTGTCATGTGACATACATTTAAATCAAAAAATGTGCAGAGGATTTATTTCACACATATGTTTTAGGTTTTTCTTTATGGGCAACACAATCCTTCTGACCAGACTCTGAAAATGTAGCTGCAGGCTGTCAAAATACTTATGGTCAAAGGTTTCATTCCGCCCAAAAACAGCGCGGAAATTGCAGAAAGAAGCAAGACTTTACATGCTTTAAGAGTTCTCTTGAAATGTTGTACCAGGAGGAGTTGGTGAGTTGAGTGGTGTTGAGTTGAGTGATTGAATGTGTAATATGAAAGTTAAACCTAACCATTGATGTTTGGCAACCACAGTTCTAACTTTTGGAATTTGAATTTACAGTTTGTCAACATTTTTTCAATTTGCAGTATCAAACTATCACTGACACCAACCAAGGAAGGAATCAAGAACAGAACGAAACTAACAACAACGAACTAGCAACGAGAAAGATCAAATCAACTTATAGCAGTCATCTGGAACACGATATCAATCAAACTCACAAAACAAAAAGTGCATAAAAGTGAATCAAAGCAGACTAACTTCAAGATGGATATCGCACTATCTAGAATAAGAGATAGACCAAAAGGAAATCAACAATCTCAAGCTAAGATCTTAAATGCCATCGAATTAGTATTAGATCAATCTAAAACAGAAAGACAACCTACTTCATATTTTATGGCTATCATCTCAACCTTAGAACTCACTCAAGATCCATCAACTCAATCAGATTTAATTACAATTCTATCAATCATCTTACCATTCTTATCAAAACCAATCTTGATTCAAAACTCAAAATCATTATTCAAACAATTATTATCTCAACCATTTCCACCAACCAAATCTATGATAATCATCATCCAATATCTTTTAAATAATTTATCAAATTCAATTTTGTCACAACAAAACGAACCTAAAGAGTTATTTAAAACTTGTTTGTTACCTTTGATTAGTTTTCCAACTAATCCTAAGTTAAGAAGACAAGTTCATTTAACTTTATCTTCTTTGACCATCGAACATCCATACAGTCAAGAATTATCAAATCACATCTTAACACAATTTTCATCAAGCTCATTAGATACTCATCAAGCTTTATCTTTACTTTCATTATCGATCGAATCTATTCATTTATTATCACCCGAACCCACCGTGAAAGTTTTATTGAACTTATTCCAACAACCTCATTTCTCTAATCATCCATTTGTGGCTGAAAGGTTATTTGATTTACTCGATAAATTAGTCGGATCACTTTGCGAACCTCAATTACTTTTGTTAGCATTAGTAGACAAAGCTCCAGAAGATGATAGAGCATTAGTAGGATGGTTAGCAACACTTGAACGTGCTTGGGAGGCTTGGTCTCGACTTTCTCCTCAGTCTGTTGAACAAGCTTTAAGTGTGAATCAAAGGTTACCTAAATTGATTTTACTATTGAATCATGATTCGTCACCTGTTAGGAATGCGGTTAGAAGTACATTAGAATCGATCATCAGAACTTGTTTTACAGATCAATTGATTCAAAAGACTGTAGAGTTTGGTACGAAATCGAACACTGGAATCCAACAGATGATTGAAAGTTTTGAAGAGATTTTAATCAAGTTAGATGAATGGACTACTTCAACTGAAGAATTATCTAGTGTGATCGAAGCGTTGGTTTCTAGATTAAGAGAACCTGTTAATGGGATACCAGCAGCTATACCATTACTTCAAAACCTTTTAAAACCATTATCTCAAAATAGAGAAAGAACTGGAATCGAATCGGTGATTGGAAAGATCAGTTCGGTTTGTGGACCTGAAATCGTTTTCAAAGAATTACCATTGAACATCTTAGAAGATGATACGAATAGTTGGGTATTAGCTTTATTAGGTAAACCAGGTTACGTTCTGAATACAGAATTAACGCATTTTGTGGAGGTCTTGGTTCCGTTGAGTGAAGGATTGTTTGAAAGGAGAAGGAACGCTTTGAAAGAAGAAATGGTCCTAGAAGCTAAGAAATGTGAGATTCTCGTCAATCAGATTTGGTCCCTTTTACCTGGTTATTGTGATTTACCTAGAGATCTTTTGAAGGTTAGTTGATTCAAAGATTCATTCATATTTGTGATTTCATACTCACTTTTTCTTGTTTTGAAGGCTTTCACTAAACCATTTGCAGAGCTTTTATCACAAATTCTATACACCCAACCAAGCCTAAGATCTTCAGTGCTTCGAGCCTTACGAAACTTGGTAGACCGAAACTTATCATTGTCTAAACCAGTACCTGAACCAGCTGATCTACAATTAATTAGAAACTTTGGAATCTCATCTAAAGATGCACAAGAAAATATTCAACATTTGTCTAGTTTAGCTTCTAATATGTCAAAAGTGATGTTTAATTTACTTTCTAAACTTGAAAGAAAAGATCCGGTTAGAAGTTTATTGGTGGAAACTATTGGATCTTGGATTAAAGTTTTATCTGAAAATGTAAGAAATTCTTCTTGATTTGTTTCTTTTTTGGGGGGGGAGAAACCTTTTTTCTGAATTAATTGTGGTTGATTTTTTGGTTCATAGGATTTTAGTCAGATTTGGTCAATGATTAGTTCAAGTTTAAAAAGATCTTCAACTCAATCTCAAGACCCCAACAACAAACTACCCACAACACTAGAGATCATGTTAGACATTTATTCGATCCTTTTACCCAGATTACCTAGCCCGATTGCGGTTGAATCTTTAGAGTTTATTGGGTCTGATACGTTCTTGATGGGATTCGCTCAGAAAAAAGCTTATAGGATTTTATGTTTGGCAATCGAGTTTGGTAAATTCAGTCAAGATGGAATCGAAGGTTTGATGAAGAGAGTGGTTTTGATTGGGAGAGATCATTCTAAAGAAATCTCAGGTGGTGCTAAACCTGTAAGTCTTGATCTTTTTCATCAAATTCCATCTTGTAAAAAATATGAAAAGACTGATTTGGATATCTCTTGCATTTTGATAAAAAAAAGGATCGAGCGAATTTGTTGTTAGAGTTGATGACTAAGATCAATTCGAATCGATTTGACTTGATGGTTTTGATGATTTCAGAAGTAGTTTTAGGTTGTAAAGAAACTAATTCAGAGACTCGTGAGATCGCTTACAAGACATTGGTTAGGATGGGAAACCGAATGAAAGATGAACCGCATGCGATCATCAACCAGAAATTACTTGAAGGTATGTAATATTTCTTTTCGAAATCAAAACTTGATGAGTTTCTGATAAGTTTGGTTTTGTAGATGAGAATGATATGGGAGAAGCAGTGGTGGTGAAAGCTTCGATTGATGAGTTTTTGAAAATCGTTAGTGCTGGACTTGCTGGTGGTTCTCCTCATATGATTGCTGCTACTATGATGGCTTTATCAAGAGTGATCTTTGAATTCCATAGTTGAGTACTTCATCTCTTTTTCTCTTCTTTGATATCTGATAATACAATAAGAATGGAAACTGACTTTTCGAATGTTTCTTTTTTTCTTTTTGATCTTTATAGATGATTTATCAAATGATTCAATTCAAGAAATCTTGAGGATCGTTTTAATTTTTTTAAATTCATCAAACAATCGAGAAATCATAAAAACTACCATCTCATTAATCAAAGTGTGTATAATCTGTTTACCTACTTTAACCATCAAAGAAAACCTAAATTCGATCGTCAAAGGTTTGATTAAATGGGGAGATGAACATAAAAATGAGATTAAAAAGAATGTGAAATTCTTATTAGAAAGATTAATTAAGAAGTTTGAATTTAATTTATTGATTAAAGCTTTAGAATCTTCTAATGGAGATGAAGATGAAGATGAAGGTGAAGGAATTGATCTAGAGGGTGGTAAGAAGTTGTTGGGGTCTGTTAAGAAGAATTATGAGAGGGAGAAAAAGAAGAAGAAAGAAAGTGTTAAGAGAAGGAAGGAAAGAGAATTGAATGGAGATGAAATGGTACAGTTGATGTTTCTTGACAAGTTTTGCATTGGAAATACAGAATTGATTTTGGTTGTGATTTTGGTTTGATTTTTAGGATGAAGATGATGATGAAGATGAAGATGAAGAAAAAGTTGGAGGAGGTGTGGTTAAGAAGAACTTGAATGATGCATATGAACAAGCTTTGTATGGTAGTGATGATAGTGATAGTGAAGATGAAGATCAACAAAAGAAAGGAAAAGGAAAAGGAAAACAACAACCTAAAGGGATTGAAATGATGATTGATGAAGGTGAAGATGAAGTGATTGATTTATTAGATCCTACCAGGATCACTAAAAGAGCTATTGGTAAGTCAAAATCATTCCTACTAAAAGTCTCCAAAAACGTCTTTCTAATGGAAAACTTTCTTGAACCGTAGCTGGAAAATTAGCTAAACTTGAAAAAAGGAAAAATCAATTATCGAATCATGCAAAGAAATTTGAAAAAGATACTGAAAGTGGAAAAATGAAAATAGAAGAAGAAGTAGAAGTCGAAGAAACCAAGAAAAGTAAAAGTAAAAAAGTAGAAGAAAACGAAGGGTTTAATGCTTATTTAGAAGCCATTGAAGGAGAAGATGGAATGTATAGAGATGAGAAAGGTAAAATGAAATTCAAAAAACCTAGTGATTCAAAACGAAGATTAGATGATTTATCAGATGTAGAAAATGAAGAGAATTTAAAGGATTTGGTGAATGGATTGGATTTGAACTCTAAGAATAAGAAAAAGAAAGCTAAAAAAGAAAAATTAGGTGCTGAATTCAAATCAAAGGTTCGTTTTTTTTGAAAAAACGCATTAGAACTTCTTATTTATACGGATTGAAAACTGATTGATTTTGTTTTGTTTTTCTTTTTTATAGAAGGCTGGAGGTGATATGATTCAAAAGAAAGGTGTTTCACCTTTTGCTTATTTACCTATGAATGATGTAAGTGGTAAAAAAGGAAAGAAGAAAAAGGGAGAAATCGATATTACTGGTAAGAAACGTGGATCTGCTTCTAAGTAGAAAGACCCAGATTTTTTTTAGATGATAGAACATGAGACATTTCAAGAGGAGTATAGATCCTCCGAGACTTCTTTTCGTTGAGTTTGTTTAGTTGTTTTTTTCGTTAGTTTTTTGTTTGTGTTTTTTTGCAGGAGAGGGTTTGATTTTTCTGATTTGGTTTTCTTTGAGGGTTTCTTGGTATTCAAAATTGTGTGATTACATCGATTATTAAAAGAAAGTTTTTTAAAAAAAATATAAGGAGAAGGCAATAGATTGGTTCAATTTGTTGTTTTTCATAAACCATTTTGATTCTTTGAGCATCGTGATTTCCTTCAAAAATGATGGATTTTAACCTACAAGGTTTAGAAGGTTGACACAGGCCTTATCTACTTAGGAACATTACGCCTTCTTACAATATGAGATCAAAACAAGTATCCGGAAACAATCAGTCTCTTTCTTTGACACTTCCTCTGATCTGATTGATTTACTTTGTTCAATGGTAAGATCATGGATTGGGATCCAGTGATTGTTTTAGGAAATGGACAAGTTATTGAGAATGGACCACCTACTGAATTATTAAAAGATCGAGAATGTGCATTTCTTTTTCTATTTTGAAACGTGTTAAAGAAAAAAAAATCTGGTGTAGGAAATAGAATTGGGCATTTTATATTACATTTGTTTTTGTGTTATTTTACAAATATAAATTAGTAGGAAATATGTTGTTATGATCAATTTACGTGGTTCAAATGAATTGTTGATGAGATGAAAAAGAATCTTTGGTTTGTATTTTTTGAAGTTCGGATTTCGATTGTTTTGATAGTTGGTCATAAAACAAAATTATGTGGTATTCAATGGCAAAAGGTTGAGGGGTGTTTAATGTGTTATGTCGCGCAAAAAAAACCATACTGCGTGAGTCAGCGTGACACTGAGGAGATGAAAGGTTTAGTCATGATGATGAATTGTGATAGTTCAAACCACACTATGTCAAGACTGGTAAAAATCTGTAAGCTGAGGTGACCGTGTAGCCCATCACTCAGCGATATCATCAATGTGATGCGCAATAGTGGACTGCTTTGTTTGACTGACACGAGCTCGGTATGTCCGTTAAATTGGTGGGTTCCTTGACAGTAGACAGCTCCAAGATTTGAATTACAAGAACTGCAAGCTTCAGGAAAGAGGAAGCCCGAAACAATTCAGAGGGCTATGGCTAATTGTCTGACAGAATTGTCCAAGGGTGAAGGGAAAGATTCGCAATACAAAGGCACTAGGACAAACTTCAATGTAGATCCTAACAATCTCATGAGAATGCAGTAGAAGGCATGTCTGTAAAGGAGAAAGAAAAGAATGGAAAATCGAGAAAAGCTCCGAGAACAAGAGTTGCAAACAACACAGGGGACGACTCAGGCGACTTGCGTACAGGCACCATTGGCCGCAGCGCAATAAGGGTTGTCACCCAGAGGGAAACTTGGGTTTGAATCGATTTGTAGGCTCGGGGTGCATCTGGCTTGCCCAGATGGAGTCCCCTTACCATTGGCGGGATAAATCCTGTTGTTGGGGCCAGCAATGTAGGCCACAACGCCTTGACCTGAACATATTCTCGACTGAAATGATAAGAACGTCGATTATCATCAGGCCAGATGTGAAAATCAAAAATAGCAATTCAACTTGAGATAACACAACACTTACCGTTACTTGGGGTGGAGGTTTCACACAGTCACCATTGGCCGCAGCGCAATAAGGGTTGGAACCAAGAGGGAAACTTGGAACTGAATCAATTTGTAGGTCCGGGTAGGTAGCAGTTCCAGTGCATCTGGCTTGCCCGGATGGAGACCCCTGACCATTGGCGGGATAAATCATGTTATTAGGGCCAGCAATGTAGGCCACAATGCTTGGACCTGAACATATTCTTGCCTGAAATGATAAGATAACATCGATGATTGTCAGGTCGGATGTGAAAGTGAAGAATAGCAATTCAACTTGAGATAGCATAACACTTACCGTTGTTTGGGCTGGAGGGTTGGCCCCGTGGACTTGAGCAATGAGGACAAGCACTACACCGACGGCCAGTGCACTCAAATTCATCGATCTGGATAAGGCTGACATGGTGTTTGATTCGAATAGTTGTCTGAGGATGAAATCAATCGGCAATGAAAGCAAGAGCAAGTGATAAACAAGGACTCAGTATGATGTTGTTGAACTCTCAGAAGCAACCGCAAAAAGTTCAACGAAGAAAGAAAATTGACCTCAGAAGTGGTGAAAGGTAAGATTGTTAAGAGATCGGGGAGATATCAGAAGTGCGACGGGGTGAAAAAGTGGCAGTGAGGAAACCAAAGGGCAACTGAAGCCTGGTCTTTTATAGAGATCCTCTGGTAATTATGATATACATACTCGTCAAACCAGGATCTCACTCTCAGCTGCGTGCATCATCATTTATAGAACACAAAGAATTGTACGTCAAGATCTTGCAGGTGAGCTTTCTCTCACCGATGCCTTCTATGGATGTACTCCCCTAGAAATTCACTTGAAATGTCGACTCAGATGAGGATGATCGAGTTTCATAACTTCCGGACAGTAGCTGTATCAGTCTTCACGCGAGACAACGTGAAACGACCGCGATTTTTTACCGCGATTTTTGTTGGATCAATCATTGCGAGGCGGCCATACATGACTTCTGACATGTAATTTGGAAATCGTTCTCTGGGAGAAGAAGCGCACACGTTGTACTAGGGGTCATGTGGCGGGCGCGGCGCGTTTTTTGCGCCCTTGGGCGCGCCTGGCGCAGGCGCGCCCGGGCGCTTCTTTTTTTCTGAATTCAGGGGGGGACGCGCCCTATCTGAATCCTAGTTGAATGAGACTTGATTTGATGAGAATTGTATTGCTTCTGAACTTTCTTTTATATACACAGGCACGTGTATTCAAGAAACCCCACCTAAAACCCAACCTTTTCAACAATGCCTACCAAATGGATTGAGCCTACTGCTAATAGCGGCCCGACGTGGATGGGATTCAAAGCGGATGTTGAACGGAAGCATGGTCGCCGTCGCGCTAAGTGCAAGCATTGCAATGGCGAGATGGATGGAAAACCTGCAAAACTTTATCGCCACATGACGCAAGACTGTAAATCAATCTCGATATCAGATCGTTCAGCTTACGAAGAAATCAATATGAAACGCGGACCCAAATCAACAAATGATGCCATCAACAATGTCAATCCACCGGAATCCAACGGATCATCAGCACTTTCCACCAAACGTCCTAAGATAACTCACGACTTCACACAAAGCAATTTCAGCCGCTTTGTGCCTCGTACCAAAGAGAGCACAATGGATACTTACGAAGATCTTCTTAAGGCTCTGATATTGGGCCATATTCCTTTCCGTTTCCTCCAAAACAAATTCTTCCGTGCCTTTCAAGAAAAACTCTCGATTGTATCTTACACTCCGGCTTCGCGGAACATTATGATGGACACTGTCCTTCCTCGACTTCATGCACAATACTCAAAAGTCACAAAATCCGAGCTCAAACAGCATACTAATCTAACTATTTCACTAGATGGATGGACAGACTGCTCAAAGAACAGTGTCTATGCGGTCTTGCTCCTACGTAGTACTGATGTTAAAAAGTAAATTGATGTGCTTGACTTGGACAATTTTCGACACACATCTGAAAACACGCTAGTTGCTCTAAAAAAAGCTCTGGATGGCCATGGTGTTACCTGGGAGCAAATTGGTGGTATTGTGACCAATTCGCCAAGCTCTATGGTCAAGTTGCGTGTAAGTATCTCTTGATCTCATGCTTTTTCATGTTCCTCTTTGACTCATCATACTGCGTTTATTCTTGTAGAAACTTGTGAAATCCGAGTTTTCTCATGTCATTCCCTTAGCATGTTGTTTACATGTTTTCAATCTTGTTGCCAAGAAATGTGTCGAACACCCCGATATGAAGGATACGGTTTCAAATGACAAGACACTTGTTAACTTTTTCAGTGCTTCACATTTCTGGGGTGTCAAGCTTTTTAAATGGCGTGTTAAAGAGGGTATAACACACGGTATTAGAACCTTTTGTGAGACTCGGTGGTTCTCGATGTCAAAGGTCGCATTATCCGTTGAATCACATGAGCAAGGATTTCAGATGTGTATGTCAATGTTCAAGGATAAATCGATATCGACTCCAGACATCAGCAAGAATGTTCGAACAATCATTGATAATCGAGATCACTTCACCTCAAATTCCATCTTGGTTAAGCTTCTTCGACCGGTTGTTGATGCGATTGGTCGACTAGAACGGGCTAACACTTCAGTTGGAGATATCTGGAAGGAAATTGGGACGGTTTACGATCAAATTCGTACGGTCGATCTATCCAGCTACCCTCGATTCCATTCTTACCGAGCACATTGTCTCGATGTCTTGCATAAACAAGCAAAAATCTTTGCTGAGCCAATCTACGTAGTTGGTTTCTTTCTCAATCCCAATTATCGTCAAGTGGCTGTCTCACAAGCATTCCCGATCAACACCATGATGAAGAACATGTTATCAATTGCTAAGGAGTGGAACTACAAAAAAACCGAAGCAGTTAATCTTAAAACACAAGCACTACAATATTTTAGTAGTGGTGGTGCTTTCCGATCGTTTGGGACAGGTAATGTTTCCTTTTATCTTCAGGACTTTTTTCAGTTCTCCACTTTTCAGGAGCTGACATCGATCACACTATAGTTTCTGTACCCCTCAAATACTGGCTCGGTATTCCATCAACCCCACACACAACTGTGCTCAAGAACTTTGCAATGAAAGTTCTTGAACTGGTTCCACACGCTGCAGGCGTGGAAAGTGTGTTCACCAAGATGGGAGCCACAAAAACTAAGTCTCGGAATCGAATGTCGGTGACAAATTTGAAGATGGTCACACAAATCGAACTCCAAATCCAAGCCGAGGATTCTCCTCAAAAGGTGGACGATAAAGATATCACCGAACTCACTTATGATGATGAATTAAACTCCGGACTATTCACAGGAGTCGATGATCTTCAGGAGTTTGAGGATGGTATTTTTGCTCAACATGAGCATGATGCAGACAATGATCTAGATGTTGAACTCGAGACTGGTTTCATTGATACCCTCTTCAATTTCAATAATTTTGATACTCAGACAGCTGGTAATATTGTTCAGTTACGTACAGAAGACACAGATGAAGAAAGCGATGGAGATTCCTGGAGTGCGGAGGACCTTTGTGATGAGTAGTTGTTTTAACCCAGGCAATCGATATCGAAGGTTTTTTTTAGTTGCCACTTATTTGAAAAAAAAACACGGCTCTTGCGCCCGTTCGCGTCCTCAGCCAAAAACTGGGCGCGCCCGACCCCCCCTGGGCGCGCCCGGGCGCTTCTTTTTTGAAAAAACGCGCCCGCCACATGAACTAGGGGTTGGGCGAAAAACCGACCAACAGGTTTTGCGCCATTGAGAAGTTACCCGAAAAGAGTTGAAGATGGCGGAAAACCACTGGACGCAGGTTTCACAGAACCTGCATCCCCAAATTGAGCTCTCGGGTGGGTCTGATCCTTCCAAGTAATTGAACATAACTGATCTGATGTTATTTTTTGATAAGCTTTTGCACCTTTCACAGATCTGTAAAAGGTGCAAAAAGGGCGTTTGCGAGGCTTGAGGCGCCGCAAATTACTTTACCTGTAAGAGCTTTTGAACGGTCAAAGCATGGACGTGATCACGCAACCAAGCATACCGGTCAACAATTCTGCAAAGCAAAAAGTTGGATAAAAATTGTTGTTGGTTTTGTGTGGCTTTGATATTGATTTCGAGCCATCTCGCAAACGTTCCCAAAAATTTGAACAGCGATTGAATGGGGTTTGGAAACCTGTTGGTCGGTTTTTCGCCCAATCCCTACTAAGTGAGCCCTGGCATTAATTACTTATGTATCCCCAAGACTTACTAGAGTGACGCACCGATGAGCTGATGGTGGACGTTCGTGCGAGATATGAATTGACTCTTTGGATCGCGAGTTTCCAGGATTTGAAAACCGGAGTTTTTCTTCTATTTTAGGATTTTACTAAAGGCAGCCCCCCCTAAGAGCATCTCCAACGCGCCCCTGAAAACGTACTCAATACGTAGATACACGTAATGTGTATTTTACGTTTGCCGGTTTTGGTCCAAAAACCATCCTCCACCGCGCTTCAGGAATCTCACATTTGGCCATACGTGTGAGCCCTATTTTTCAGAATCGAGGTTCTCCCATGTCAAGTTCTTCATATCCTGAGGAGAAAATTGACGTTTGCAGAATGACTGATCTCTGACCTATAGGACACTTGTGGTGATTTTACCACCCCTTTGGGTCACTGATAAACACGCTGGAACCTTCAGAAATACTCTGAAGGTTCCAATCCAACCGCAAATGAATGATTGATTGATCGACCAAGGGTTTAATCGGAGGAAATAGAGGGCGCTTTGAGGCTTGAGGCAAATGAAACCCTCCCTTTAGCGTTTGTTTATGAGAATAATTTAACCACATACCAAGTGTGATATGGCCTGTAGGATGGGTATTTAAGTTAAGTTTCTTTGCTTATTCTCGTGTAATCATTACCCCAATGTCTTTCTTTCTTATGTGTTCATTTTGACGCATCACGATTACTTATATCACTTTGAATCAATTCTAAATTCTTTGTCTTTGTTAATTGCTACTCTGCTCAATTTCTCAATTTCTGTCACTTTCCTCACTTGAATATTTAGTTGTCATGCAACATTCCACTACTACCCCACCCCAGTCGAGTCCTGCTCCTGCTCCTGCTCCTGCTCCTGCTAACTATTGTAAGTGACTGATGTACTCGTACTTGTCATCAGAAACTAATGTACGCTTTTGACTTTCAGGGGCTGCCCGTAGTCCTCAAATGATTGGTCATCGATTGCCTGGTCATCACGCTAGGCCTATGAGCCACCAGATGAACTTTACTGGAGACAGTCCGGGTGCTGGAGAACGTGAGTGTTTTTCATGTCAGCAACATTACTTGAATGGTTCTAATGTATCTCGTTGTCATTTCCAGGTGGTTCTATCAAACCTGCTTTCAGTGAGCACCGTCACCGTGGAGCCTCTGGTAATGGAACTTTGACTTGTACCGTGTCAGCTGCACCTCAACATCGTATGAACAACTATCACCATGGAACGCCGGGCGCATTACCTCGTGCCGAATTGGCTTCAGCTGCACCTCATCACCATTGTTTCAACAATGACCATCATGGACCTCTCGACTCTGTACCTCCTATGCGACAAGATTCAATAATGAAAGTGTTTCATTACAACAGTCCTCCACAATCCACTAAGCTTAACTAAGCCCCTCTAGCGCGTTTGCCGCGCCCTCGCAGAGGGGCTTATATCGGACTCGCGTTTCATGGCGGGAGAGCTCCAGAAATTAAGTGCCTTTATGTACTTTTCTGGAGCTCTCCTCAATTCCTCACCGTAGGATTTCTCAAGGTTCAGGTATGTTCTCCTTCATGAGGAGCTACACAACCTCGTACCACTTTCATCAACAACTGAGAGCTGTGATGCTTTCAGGAAACATTGCGCAAATGGTTTCTTACATCCTCCTGTAACAGCCTAAGCATGCCAGTACAGGCCTGTACTGGCCTTCACCGAGATTTGGATGTTTGGTCCTTCGCCGAAACTGCCGCCGAAATGGATAAAAGCCAAAACCCTTAAGATATTCATCAAAACCCTTGGATATCGAGGGACACTTATCCCGGTGGCGCGAGGTCCTTTATTGTTTTTACGAAGACGAAACCCTTGTGGTGTTTTGTCAAGAAATTGGTAGTTTCCGACGAAGCTGCCATTTCAGCCTCCTGGTCTGAAATAGCCAGCTACACATTGCAACAAACTGGAAATCCGTTTTGAATACCCTTACTTCCAACAAATCTTGCTGAAAGTGGTACGAGGTTGTGTAGCTTCTCATGAAGCTACACATATCTGAACCTTGAGAAATCCCACAATGAGTATTTGAGGAGAGCTCCAGAAAAGTACATAAAGGTACTTAATTTCTGGAGCTCTCCCGCCATGAAACGCGAGTCCCATTTAAGCCCCTCTCTCGACTACTCGCTCGTCCGAGAGGGGCTTAGTTAAGCTTAACAATCCACCCAGACTTCTGTCACCTCGAAGCGCCCGTTAGAAGATCTGGAGTCATCTTTTGCATCATCCTTTCCGTCTTCGCAATCCCCTAACACTTCTGGCGGTGGTCGTGGTTCGAAATTCAACAAGCCTTCTCTCGAACAGTTATGTAAATCTTGGCTGAATGTTTCTGAGGATGCACTCGTTGGAACCGATCAAAAAGGTTCCACCTTTTGGGTCAAAATAACCGAGGACTTCAACAGCCGAGTTACTCCTGCCAATCAACGCACCCTCAAGTCCCTTAGTTCTCGCTGGTCTACTCTCAATGCAGCAATGGCAAAGTTTGCTGGCTGCTATCAACAGGTCCAGATGCTTCGCGAAACAGGAAAATGTGCTGCGGATCAGGTGGTGGATGCGTTGGTTATGTACCAATCAGATGTAGGTTCGGAGTTCAAGGACATGGCTTGTTACAATATTGTTAAAAACTCTCCTAAATGGAAGACCAATTCGACTGTGCTGGACTACTGTGGTACAGGTGGTGTGGACGATGACTTCGTGATGCCTCACGTACTGGCCGGCTTGGGTAATTTGTCTTTGACGGCAAGTCCTTCTACATCTACGTCTACTTCTGCAACGGATGTAAGTGGCCTGCCTTCAATGGATTGACCCGAAGGAAATAAGAAGGCGAAGAGAAATTGAAACTCCAAAGTGGATGATGTACAACCTCAGTTCATTACGAATCAAGCAGCTGGTCTTCGGGTTACTGAGAGGATCGCCGAACAAGGCGAAAGGCAAACTGTCGCTCTCGAAAGGATGTTTGAGTTATCTGTGCTCATGACTGACACGTCCAAAGTAGATGAAAGGACACGCGCAGGTATTGAGGCCGCGAAAGAGATGATCAACCGCAAGCATGAAGCTCAACGCGGTGTTTGATTTTTCCTTTTCAGCTAGGTTAGTCTGCGTTGTCATGAAGGATCTTTCTGCGGACTACCTGTTGTATCCTTTGATGAATGAATATGTCATTCGTGATATGTGATGTGTTTCTTGTTTTAGTATAAAGTTCCTGCCTCAATTTACTTTACTATTCACTCGTTACCACCAGTTGTATAAAGTGTCTTATATTACCTAGTTCATATTCCTTTTACTGTGCAAATATTATTCGTGTCAATATTGCTATCAATTTTATCATCGCTTAAAATCAATAATGTCTTCCTCACCTGAGTCAAACCGTAGCTCTTCATGTGACTCATCCCAAGATGGTAAGTTCTAAGGTTCTTATTTGACAATGCTTTTAATGATTTAAACTGGCCTGCTTTCAGTGACCTGGTTAGGCTCAGCCCATGCGACCGGCTTTTTGCCTCAAGAAATGCTTCGATACTTGAAGCATTTGGACGAACTTCCACAACGTGACACCTCACCCGAAATTCAACAAACTCCTGAAGGACAGGAACACGTCGATCCTCGCCTTCGTGCGAACCGCCCAGATGATGATCCACGTGAGATTGGATTCATTATCATTATATATTATAATGTTTAATGTCATGATGATCTTGCTAACATTATCATGATTGCTCATGATTATAACATAACAGGAAGTTCACCCACTCTGGCTCGAGTTGCGAATCTGAGTCCTCGAGCCCAGCGGGAATTACAACAATTGGCTGAATACAATCGCCATCGCCATTCAAGACAGGCTATACGCCACATTATCAAGATAATTCAAGATAAGCGTAGAGATGATTTCCGTCTACTACGTGAAGCTCTTCAGCAGGTCCACAACTATCACGGACGCTACCTGCAGGCTCCAGGCCAAAAGGCAGCTGCAGGTGCCTTGTTACGTGCCGGTGGGCTCGCGAAAGAATTTGTTGAACTCTTCGATAACGAAGCGAAGTGGCTATGGCTTCAAATGAGGGTTGATGCCCTTTATAAGTCATTAGTGGATGACTCTCTTACTACTACTACGTTTCTATTTGCTCTCTCTCTCTCTTACTTACTTACTTACTTACTTACTTACTATGCCATTTCTATGCTCTGTATATTTTGATGTGGATGGATTCAATATGTTACTGGTCAGCTCAGCAGTCTCTCGTATGTATGTTAACTTTGTACATAGAAGATATTTGATTGAATAATCACATAAACACATCGATATATGACAAGAAATTTAAAAGAGAGAATGAGAGGAGTGTAACTAAGAAGTGTAAACAAATTATGAACCGGAACTAAACAGCGCTAGAAACCAATAATAGTAAGAGGTCATCAGGATCAAGGAGAGCGTGACTAAGAAGCGTAACAAAAATATGAACAGGAACTAAAGAGAGCTTGGCAATCAAACGTCAACACTATAAAATCAAAAATCGATGAGTTTCATAGTTGATAAAGATACACCTACACCTGATGAATGAAATCGAACTCACTCTGGGTCAACGCCGCCATACTTTTGCCATATGTGTTCAACCAAGTCATCGCGTAATTCCCGATGAGCTTGAGGGTTCCGGAAGTTGCGGCCTTCCATGAAGCGAACAAACGCACCTGCAGGTCTAGGAAGTCGAACTGGAGGTGGTGGTGGTGGTTTGAAGATATGGACATCATTGGCGCCTCGTGGTTCTGCAGCCTGATCGGCTACTATCATGTTGTGTAGGATTATACAGCAATTCATGATAAGTTCAAGAACTGCCGGCTGCCACATTCAACACGGGCCTTTGATGATGGCAAATCGAGCTTGAAGAACGCCAAAGGTACGTTCTACGTCTTTTCGAGTTGCTTCTTGGAACTGGGAAAACAGCTTATATACAACATGTATCGTCAGTTAAGTTATGATAACACCAACCACGAATGAAATACTACATACTCTGGGTTTATCATCCTGAGGACAACTGATCGTTTGGATCAGGGTTGACCACTTCGGGTAGATACCATTGGCCAGATAGTAAGGAACGGTGTACACCGTTCCATTCACAGTGTAATGGCAAGGCGGAGCGTGGCCTAAGGCTAAATCCTGAAATAAATGGGAGCGTTCGAGCACATTGATATCATTCAGACTGCCAGGTAGGCCGAAGAATGAGTGCCAGATATGTAGATCTTGCGTAGCCACTACCTCGAGCACCAAAGTCGGAGTACCTTCCTTTCCAGAATAATGACCCTTGAGCGCCTTTGGACAATTTTTCCATTCCCAGTGCATACAGTCGAGGGAGCCGAGCATACCGGGGAAACCGCGTTCAGCGTTTTCGGCGAGGATCTTTTGCACATCCTCAGGGTTTGGTTTACGTTGATACTGATATTTAAAAGCCATTATGACACCCTTGCAAAATCGTTTGAGAGATTCGATGGCAGTTGATTCGCCAATACGAAGATACTCGTCTTGAGAATCGGCAGAGGTTCCATAAGCAAGTTGCCGAAGGGCAGCCGCGCACTTCTGGAACGGGGATAGGCCAAGTTTACCTGCGAGGTAACGAAATGGGCATCATTAGTCGCAAGCAAGTAAACATGATAGGAGGTAAATAAAAAAATTGAACATACCTAAAGCATCCCGTCTTTGTGTGAAGTAAGGATCGAGGTCACCTAAAGTCTTTGCAATGTGTACAAAGAGCCGACGACTCATTTGAAATCGTCTTCGAAACATCAATTCACTATAAACCGGGATGATGTCAAAGTAATCATTCATCAAGCCGAGGTGCCCAGCCTCACAGTTTCGAGGTAGATTTGGTGATCTACCAGGATAAGAGCCCCCAGGTCCACGTGGTATGTGTGAAACCATGATGTGGGCCTGGAGGTCTTGGTCATACGTAGCAAGAGCAGCGATAAATTGTCTTTGAAGGCCAGCGCATACGACATATTGTGCTAAGAAAGCTGGAGATATGATAGCATTCGAGTTCATCTTTAGGTTGGTTGAAAGGAAAAAGTAAGTAAAATATGTAGAGGGTGCAATAGTTTAGAAAGACAAGATGAATGAAGAGACACTGATGAAACCGTCAAGCAGTAGAACCAAGCGATATATATTATATAACTTTCAAGCACATCAAAGGCACTTGATGTGGTTTAAAACCGTGTATAACCACGGCAAAGACAAGCTTGGTCAACGTATCACCTCGCGATCGATCACATATGATATGAAGAAGAGAAGATGAGAAATCATGAATATCATGATTTGACATCATGATGTCAGAATACGTTTATCTTTGGCAGTTCGGGCAGACACACAACGTTTGCAGGGTCTGCCTGAAGAGCGCGGTGGGTGCGGCTCAAACTCAATAACTGATACAGCAGCCTGTACGGCTTGAGTCACCCGCTTTGGGGTCTGTACGATGTTTACAGATGCCGGGTGCGTTGGAGATGCTCTAAACTCAACAAAGTCCCACGCTGCGTCTCGCACGCTTCAAGCGCAGCGAGGGACTTATGACAAACTCGTAACTTTTTGCCTGTGAGGGGAACCAGTTTTTGCAGGAGAAATTTGCCTTCCTTATAAAACTTTTTCCCCTATTTGTGAAAAATCGAGATGCAAAGAAATGAAATTTTCGCCTCTCTGAGGCGAATCGATTGATCAAACAAAATCCCGAGGAAGCCGAGGAATCCCTCCTCTACTGGCTTCTGAAGCTCGAAGTTTTTGCTGAAATTGCCTCGTATTCGTATGTATAAACCACTCTCAAGGGTCAAATACAGGTCAAAACACTCGAAAACACTCCAAAATGCTGAACTTCAGAAGGAATCTGAAAGGACATTCCTCGGCTTCCTCGGGATTCTTTTGGATCAATCAATGCAACTCATAGAGGCAAACATTTAGTTTCTTTGCATCTCGATTTTTCACAAATAGGGGAAAAAGTTTTATAAGGAAGGCAAATTTCTCCTGCAAAAACTGGTTCCCCTCACAGGCAAAAAGTTACGAGTTTGTCATAAGTCCCTCGCTGCGCTCGAAGCGTGCGAGACGCAGCGTGGGACTTTGTTGAGTTTAGCCCCCCCTTGTGAGGCTTGACAGGACCCTGGAGAGCCCCTATATACCCGGCTTATTGGGTACGTAGGAATTGGCCTTTTTGGGCAAAAAGGGTCCTAATCTTCTGGGTAGGAATTTGAGAAAATTTCAAAAAAATCTAGTAAATGTGCCTTATTTGTGGGATACAAAGTTAAAACTGGGATTTTTTCCCAGTTTCCCGGTTTTTGTTTTTGGCTGTGTTTGGAACTTTCCCACGTTCTCCCAGTTTCCCAGTTTGCGTTTTTGGCGGTATTTGGGAAGCTGGGAAACTGGGAAAAAAATCCCACTTTTTGTTGTAGAGCGGGGTGTGCGTGCACGACTGCGCCTCAGCCAGTCACGTGACAGTTGTACAGACGTAGTAGATCTAGTCTCTGCTCCTCGGCGGAAGCTTCCACATCACCATCTGTGTGGAAGCCAACTCCTTGGAGAGAGAACTGACCGGCCGATCGTCCTATTCGTTATAGGTAATTACATCACCATATGTGTGGAAGCCAACTCCTTGGAGAGAGAACTGACCGGCCGATCGTCCTATTCGTTATAGGTTATGAGCAGCGCTACGCTTTAATCGTTTCGTCCTCGTCTCGCTGAAGCTCATAGAGTAAGACCGACCGCCATCGGCTTCCGAACTTATGTCAATACCTCGAACTCCACCAAAGAAGTTGCAATCCACGTCACAGATCGGAGCACAAACTCGAACACAGTCTTGTTCTAGATTGGAATCAATCGCCCCTGAAGAACAACAGATTTTAACTCGAGAAAATACTCCAGAATCAAACCCGAATACACCCAAGAATATATTCATCCAACCCCCTCCTTCAAATTTTCTTTTAACTCAACCCCCTGCAGATCCTTTCTTTACTCAACAAGTCAAATCAAATATCACAACACGTAATCCATCTCACACTCGTACTCAAGACCGCCAACTGAGCGAAGAAAACAAAATCGAAAAAACGCTAACGATGTCAGAATCCAATCACGCACCGGACCGCTTAAAATCTCTACTCGATAATCATAAAGACATCAATAAATTTATCACGGGAATCGATAAACTTGATCTGAACGGCACGAATCTTGCAATATGGAAGTTACGCACGTCAAGAGCAATCTACGAAATGACTGACATTCTTGACTACTGGAACAAAGATAGACCTGATGAGAACTCTGCTATTGAAATGGCAATTGATAAATGTGCCGGCCGTGTAATTAACTCAACTATCGACGCGGAACTTCAAGACATGATCTTGGGCAAGACTTTAGCTCACGATGCGATGGCAATTTTGGAAGATTTATTTCAACAAGGTGGTCGCACGGCTCAATATGTGGTTTTTAGATCAATCATGTTAAGAAAATTTGATGCAAACTCTATGGATCTCATGACTTTTGTTAATCAAGTTAACAAGGATTTTGAACGTCTTAAATCTGTTGGTTTTACCTGGGATGAAGATACGGTGAAGGGGATGATTTATCAACTTTGCTCTCCGACTACCGGTGAATTTGGAATGGATATACTCAACGCAACTCTTGACGCACGATATCGGACCGACAAGAAGCCCTTCTCATCTGCTGAAATCCAAAGCGCTTTGTCAAATCTTATCCTGACTCGCAAAACTGTTAACGAGAACGAAGAGGTTCAGGCGTTGACGGCTTCATTCAACCGCAATATGAAGCCATCCAATTGGACACCGGATTGCTCGAACAACTATCGACCTTCACCTGCTCCGAACTATCAGACTCCTAATCTTAGATCTCCTCCTCCCCATCAATCTTTTGGTACTCCACGCCAACCACCTCCCGGTCCAATCACAACGTTAGCGGAAAGAACTGAATTGGAAAAGAAGCAAATTGTTCCAGGGAAACGCGCGGCGAAAGAGATTCACGACAATATCTATCAATGCTTTCACTGTGCGGCTTTTGGTCATGGGAAGGATACTTGCTCTTTGGCTAAACGTGGTGCTCCACGTACTGCTCCTCATTTTTACGACTGGCGAAAATGTACCAATGGTAGATGGTATAGCATTCTTTCTCTCGGACTTTACCCCCCGCAAATCGCGACTCGTGTAGCAGAAATCGAGGAGTCAGCACCCGAATCGTCTTCAGCCGCTCCCACTCAAATCTCGGCATCAACGGTGGCATGGAGCGCTGAAGGAAACGAGCTGGACGAAAATTATCCAGAGTACCTTTTGGACAGTGGCGCCACGCACCATGTGAGCAATGCCATCCAGTCACTAATCAATTACTCTCCTTTACCCAACCCCATAAAGATGAAAACCACGGCTCATGGGGATTCTGCTTCCATAGTAGGAAGAGGATCACTAAGAGTGAAGACGGAAGACGGAACCAACTACATCATCAAAAACGTCTACTACAGTCCGCAAGCAACCAGTACGCTTATCTCTCAAGCGGCATTGGTGGAGGATGGTGCAAAACTTTGGTTTTGGGGTAATCATGTTGTAATCCGGATGCCTAGTAAACAATCAATTGTGGCTTCCTATTCTGATTGTCATTGGATCATACACGCAATGAAACAAACTGTTATTCCAAGAACCATCCCAGAGAGAGTCGGACAAATCAAAGTCATGAGCAGCCAGCAGAAGGCAGAGGATGTTGCATATTTGTGGCATCATCGTTTTGGTCACGTAGATATGAAACGTATACAAAAACTATGTGCGGAGCAGATGGGTTTGGGACTACCTTCTTCCATCCCATTGGGCGAATTCACTTGTGAAGATTGTTTGACATGCAAAAGTACACGACAACGCAAACTGGGACGAACCGGTAGGGAATACGGCTTACTTGATGTCATAGTCTCTGACGTCATGGGCCCGTTTCCTGAGGATGTGAATGGTAACCGATTCACTGTCACCTTTAGGGACGTAGCAACTACTTATTCCAACATTTTAATCATAAAGAACAAATCTGATGTACCTGACACCTTCACACGAGTAATCAACAAGTGGGAACGAGAGACGGGATACAAGGTGAAACACGTAAGAACGGATGGAGGAGGTGAATATGTTAAGACAACTTTCAGCAACTGGTTAAAAGGAAAGGGTATTGTTCATGAACACTCTAATCCCTATGAACCCGAGCAGAACGGAGTCGCCGAACGACTCAACCGCACAATCAGCGACATGGGTAGGACGATGCTGGCGGCTTTGCACCTACCGCAGTCATTTTGGTCGTTTGCGTATGTAGCAGCATGTTATCTCCATAACAGGCTCCCAAATACCTTGACCGGGAACAAAACCCCTTACAAATTGTTTTACGGACGGAAACCACAGCTCGACATTATTCGCACCTTCGGAGCGACGGCTTTTGTACATCGTCATGACGCACAACAACAAGGCAAGCTAGACGAAAGAGGTAAAAAGTGTGTCATGGTTGGTTATCTCGAGGGGAGTAAGGGATGGATATTTTATGCTTCAGGATCTAAAGTTCTGCTGAAGACAGGCATAGCAACATTCCCATATGAAGACAAATTTTCTCAGGACGTTATTGAACATGATCCGACCAAACCGACATCATCTACATCACTGAATAAGTTACTCGACCTGCCACCAAACAAAGGTCGTTTGGATTTCATTGTTCACGCTCTACGACTTGGTGACTTCTCCGGCGAAATGAAAGCAGAAGCCGAGGACGCTTTGGTTGAATCTTTAACAAGCACCATAGACTTATCGTCTGGCGCCAAAGAACCACTGACGTACTCTGCTGCGATGAAGGATGAAGTTGCGAGGGAATGGAATAAGGCTATGGAGGCTGAGCTGAATGCAATGGAGGAGATGGGTGTTTGGAAGATTGTGGATCGTCCTGATAACGTCAACGCTCTGGGTTTGAAATGGGTCTACAAACATAAACAACTCGACTCAAGTGGCAAGCCAATTAAATTCAAAGCACGGCTTGTTGCTCAAGGTTTCTCCCAGAAGGAAGGCATCGACTACGACGAGACTTTTGCTCCTACGGCGTGCATGGCATCACTACGTTTCCTGCTAGTACTGGCAGCAAGGATGGGATGGGAGGTGCACTCATTTGACGTGACGGCGGCGTACTTACATAGTGACATCACAGGGAAAGTTTATTTTAAACTACCTCCAGGTGCTATGGAAGAGGCGAGAAGGGCAAACAAAATTCTGGAGGCAGTAAAGGCTTTGTATGGGACGAAGCAGGGTGCACGCTGTTGGTGGAAGCATTTTGCAAAGATATTACGCAAGTTAGGTTTCAATCCTTGTCAATTCGATCAATCATCATATTTTTGTAAGAGGGGTGACGGTATTTGTATCATCTGGGCTCATGTTGACGATGGGGCAGTGACGGGTAGTAGTGTAGAATTATTAAGGGAGGTGGCGAAGGCACTTACGGAGGATCTGAAGATCAGGTGGTCGGAAACCCTAGACTGCATCATTGGCATCGATGTTAAACAACTTGACAATGGTTCATTTCAACTTTTGCAAGAAGGACTCACAAACAAGATTATCAACTCCTTTCTTGAGACACCAGGCAAGTTATCCATGTCGTTGAATTCCTCCTCCTTACCAACGTCGCCAACGGAGGAAGAGGACGACATCGACAAGACAAAGTTCCTATCGGTGATTGGTTGTTTAAACTATCTAGCAGTGGCTACAAGACCAGACTTAACATACGCTACGAATTTCCTGGCACGATTCTCTGCTCGACCGACAACTCAACACTGGGCGGCAATTCAAGGCGTACTGCGTTATCTGAAGACATCAGGCTGTGTGAAACTACATCTAAAACCTTTAATGAATGAAGTCAAGACAGGCCTACATACTTACGTTGACACAAACTGGGGTGGAGAATATTCCAAATCAGTACACGGATATGCGACTTTTTTCTTAGGTTGTCCTTTGGATTGGACTTCTAAAAGACAAGGTTGTGTTGCGACATCAACTTGTCATGCCGAATATATGGCACTGGGTACGGCGGCAAGGGAGGCAGTCTGGTTGAGGAATTTAGTTGGGGATGTGTTGGGTGCAATGGGACCGGTGAAGATGTTCTGTGACAATACGGCGGCAATTCATGTATCAAAGGATAATTTGTCAAACAAAAGGACAAGACATACAGATAGGGAGTTTTATTATGTAAATGAGCAATTATTTAAAGGCACGGTAACTCTACATTGGGTGGAATCAAAGCATCAAAAGGCGGACATTCTGACAAAAGCACTAGGTCCGATACTTTTTGAAGCTGGGAAGAAGAACTTGATGTTGACGGCCTAATTTCATTTTATTTTTTTCATTTCAATTATATTTTGTTATTTTTTTGTTTGAGTTTTTTTTGTTTCTTTTGTTGGTTGTTTGTTTTGTATGAGGTTGTCTGAGGCTTGTTGTGGGGGGGGTGTTGTAGAGAGGGGTGTGCGTGCACGACTGCGCCTCAGCCAGTCACGTGACAGTTGTACAGACATAGTAGATCTAGTCTCTGCTCCTCGGCGGAAGCTTCCACATCACCATCTGTGTGGAAGCCAACTCCTTGGAGAGAGAACTGACCGGCCGATTGTCCTATTCGTTATAGGTAATTACATCACCATCTGTGTGGAAGCCAACTCCTTGGAGAGAGAACTGACCGGCCGATCGTCCTATTCGTTATACTTTTAACTTGTAGGAATATGTCAAAAAGTCAAGGGAAAAAAATTATGTTGCTTACACCTGAGGTAGGAATCCAGCCTCTGCAGGCCATAACCACCATCAGCATCAAACTGCATATTAGGGGGGTTCAGGTCAAAAAATTTTACTACTTTTATCGCAAAAAACTTTTCCCAATTGCGTAAAATTTACATTAGCCGGGGAAAAGAAAAGTATAACTGTATAATACAAATGTGGGATGGGAAGGGGCAGAGAATCCGAAGCCATGACCAGGCCAGGAGCCTCAGGAGTCTTGCCACCGCGGAACCCTTCTTCCTTCGACTTGTAGTCAAGTCGAGGGAAGATTTGAAAGTGACTCGTAGTCGAGTCCCTGCGTTCTCAGGTAATCTCAGAGAGCACCTGAGATTTGGCCTTGATACAGGCCTGAACTTCACCAAAAAAAAAATCGTAATCCTGACCCAAAAGTAGCAAAATCCCAATTGAGAAGCCCTGCGGTACCAGTCACTGTAGCCCGATCACGGTGGCCCATCAAGTCTAAAGTCAACGCTCAAGCTGACCATTCAGCAGGTGAGACATCCCTTCACTTACCACTACGAAGATCCTCAAGTTGTAGTTTTTCACCGTTGACACCTCAGATACACCTCACCAGCATGGTACGGAACGACAAACCAAAAAATCTGATGGGGAATATGGGCTTCCGGTCGAAACGGAGTCGAAGAACTACTGCCCCCGCTAAGATGACTCCTCAAAAAGCACAATCGATCTCGGCTTCACTTGGAATTGCTATCCATCCAGTTCCAGGTACCAATGAAGATCTTGACGGTGACTCACTTGATAACCTTGAATTGAATCAGTTCTTGCCTTTACCCGACGAACCAGAAGCCCCTGCTTCTTCAATAACTGACGCCGCCCATCAGTTTGCTCAAGAAAGTCGTGATTGGTGGAATGCAGAGGATTGAAGAATTCTTAAGCTGCAGTGGAATGCAATCAAATTTCAAATACTGCTACCTACCTTTATCTTCAGGACAAAACATGAAATTGGACTTCTGAAGCCTCGTACCTCGGTGTGGATATCAACTGCCAGTGCTTGAATTCCAAACTCACAATGCAAACAGTCAACCTTATTGACATCTTAGGCTTTCACAGCAAGCATCAAATCCTTGTCTGCGCTTGTATGCCAAAACCTGTACAACTTTTACACTATGGGTATACCTCAAGCTTGCCTCAAAATCCACAGACAGCATTTTCAGTACAACTCCTTCAATTTCACCATCAAATGTGGAATACGACTGTCATATCTAGTACTGGATTTGTCAATGGATTGATCTTGTTCCTTAATTTACAAATCAAAACTAATCTGAAACCTTGAACTCATCAATACAGATCACTCATTCATGATCGTGATCTCAGAAGACAATTCACCAGCTCGGTCAACATGTATCGAACCATTGTGCTATGTATGAGAAAGATTTATAATGAGGGTCTCAAGCTTTCAAATGCTCAGTTATTGGTAGACCGTTGTGGTCGCTGTTTTGGTCCAGCAATCAATGAAGAGCCACATGTGATTCTTAGATGGCAATTTTCAACACAGACATTACACTTGATCAAGCAAGGACAATCCTACTGAAGCAGAGTATCCAGAAATATTTGTTAAACCGTCATTTATGAAAAAGAACAAGATTATCCAGAACTCCACTGAAGCCCAAGCCAAGGATGTGAAAGTAGGTCGCTCGACATGATATAGTGTGATATCAGTATCATTAAACTGACTTGTTCTTAATCTAGAACCCTTGTTCTGACTCTCATACCGCGGCAAATGATGTGAGGAACTCGACTTCATGGAAAAGAAGTGACGACACCGGCCTCTTTGGGTGTACTTGCCGGCACAATGTACCTCTTAAACTCGCTAATATTTACAAAACTGGCGAAAAGTAAGTCTTTCACCTTGGCTCGACCTAATCAAGTAACTCAACATGATTTTCTATTTACGCATAGGCTTTATTATCCATTAAGTATCCTTGAGCAGCTCTTGCTAGATTTGCCCGATATTCAAGTTGGAGTTCTATATGACATTGGTTGTCAGCTTGAAGCACATACAAAAAAGGTAGTTAGTCTCAAATTTTATCTCAAAATTCAATACTAACATCATCATATCAACAGCAAAAGTTCTTTGAAGCTATTGCACATTGGCTCAACTTTGGAACATCCGTATTCCATGCTTACGTGCACAACTGGGCTTGTCAAGTCCTTTACAACCCTCGATTCAACAAATTCTGGGGATTGTCGGATGGTGAAGGACTGGAACGGTTCTGGTCCTTCCTGTCATTGTTGGTGGCAGTCAATCAAATATCAACACGGATTCATCGACTACTATCAATCAATTGGCGGGCTGATTACTTTGTGGAAATTACTTTGAATTCAACAGGTACATGTGTGGTACTTTTGTTTTTTTTCTTCAGATGCTAATTTTGGATTGACTTAGCCAAATGGCTTGTTTGCAGGCTACACAATGCCAAAACCATATTAAGACAATCAAGTGGTGCTCTTGACACTTTGATGAGCACAAGGAGCTCTATGTTCCCGACCATCCGCTACACTCACAAATTCCTGCGCCAACAATGGGAGTTGGAGCGTCACTCTCAAGAAAAAAGATCTCATGTTCAGGAACAACAGAAGATTGAACTTGGTCGATTACTATTGTTAGAAGAGACAGCTCAAACAATACACTGCCAGCATTAAATATGTTCCCTGGTCGGAACATGACCTAGTCTGGGAATATCATTGAGAGAAGAATGGTGCATCAAATCATCTTGCACTGCACATCTGAGCCATAAAGCATACACTACATATGTGCAAACATCTGAGTAAATGCTCAGCTATCAGCTACATACAGGTCCGCTCAGTTATCTGCTCATCTAGATAAGAAGTTCATGTGTAATACATGCTGTAAGTTTGTTCAGATTGAGCCACACATCTCAAAATATTGACTACATATATCACAATGGCTACTCAGGAAATATTCATGGAGCTGTGTAACAGTAGCAGGATGGGAATGTGATCACTAGGACCCATATTCCCATCTGGGAACCTCTTTAATGCTGGCAGTGATATGGTAAGTGTGACTCCTTTTTTTCAAAAAAGAAGTCTTATATTTGACTTCCATCTTTCTATTAAGGGCTCAAGATGCATAAAATATTGAAGATGCGGCTATCAGGCTAGCCAAGCACAATGAAATACAAAAAAAGATTGGAAAACAACGCACCAAGGTTGGATCTGACAGTATCTTGAACGACTTGAATGGTATGTAATGTACTTTATGTCATTGTTTCCATAAATAATAGGCTGACATACAGCTCTGTATCCACTTTACTTTAGTGCTAGAACAGGATCAAATTTTGAAAATATGGTTTGCTAAACAAGATGTACAGAATCAGTTTGTGGCCATTCACGAGCAGAAACGGCCTTTGGATGTGAGTCGACGAGATGGAAAGAATTCAAGTATTGGCAAGTCAAAAATATTCTCTTTAACACAATTATCCCTTGTCGACCGATCAAATTTTTCATGTGCACAGGATACAATGACAAAACACACCTACTCAAGTCACTCCGCGACCAAACTGCTAAATTAAAAACCAAACTGGAAACATATCAAAAGCTTTTATTGAAATATTCAACTACTTCTCCCCATCCATCACAGCCAACAAACATTACCTACACCAAGCTTCTTGAAACCGACTTTGATCACTTGTTTTGGAATGATGGTCTCTTCACCGACAGACGCGAACCTTGGGCAATCAATGCTAATACACAACATGGAATGCGTCAAATTGCCTATTACGATCAAGCCAAAGAAGAAATCCGCCGCTTGGGATGGGAAGCTAGAAGAGTGATGCGGTGGGACATTGATTCCCACAGGTTGCTTTCAACTTATCTTTATCAACTTCAAACACACATTCTAGTTGAAGACGCACAGCCAATTGATCTGCCGTTGATAAATCATCCAGCTTTGAGCTTGCTTAGTGGTCTGGGTAAGATATCAGCTGCAAGAATGATCATAAATCAAAAGCTAGTGCGGATATTCAATTTACAAGCAGACTGGAATACGGGTCTGAGAGAGATTCTTCATTGCACACCATCGCAAGAAGGCGATAACGAACTCAAGATCTCATGGTACAATCAAATTCAAAAAATTCAAAACATGTATGTCAAGAAGATGCTCTCATTGAACACAGGTTTTGTAACTATTTTGGAGGGGGTGGAGGATGTTATTCAGACGGATAATCAAGCAAATAACAATATCCAAATTGATAGTGAGGGTATTACTAATACTGATGGTGATTCAAGTGATGACTTGAGTGTTGAGGACATTGATCTGGAATGGGAGGATGTCCATGAAGCAATGATGTGATGATGTAATATGATTTGTAATACTTTATCAATTCTTGCAAAATAAATAAGAAGAAAAATGTGTTTGATGAAATAAATGAAGCAGCCCTTTGACTTTTTTCATACCAAAGATACATAAGAATCTAAGCCCAACCATCACTTTTTGATACATATGAGAATTTAAGCCCACCCGTGCCAGTTTTTGGCCTTGTAAAAATGTGACCTGTTTGATATCACATTCAAATATTGAGAGTATTTATGTTATAAGCTGATCTAATACCAAATAACAATAAGGGTACTCAAAGTAAGTATGTACGTGTACACACTTTTTGCTATATACTTTTTGGATCCCACTATTTAGCGCCCCCTTAGGGAAAACCCGACGCCCGCTTTTTTTGGGGTATTGCCCGAGGTGTCCGACACAACCCAACATCCCCAGCAACGGTGGCTTGCTAAGCTAAGCTAAGGATTTTTGCCACCTTGGCTTAGCTTAGCTAGAAGCCGCTAAGGAAAAATCCGCTAACGCTAATCTTAGCGGATTTCCGCTAATGCTAAGCCATTAGCTTAGCGGACGTAAAATGACGCCCGCTAAGCCAATTAATTGGCCGCTAAACCGCTAATAGCGGCTTAGCGGCCCTTTTTTGCACGTAAAACATGTATTTTTTTGATAGCTAAGCTCCCGGCTTAGCTTAGCGCAGACCCGCTAAAGGAAAAATCGAAATTTGATTAGCTTAGCTTGAATGCACTAAGGATTTAGCGCTAGCTTAGCAACAAAAAATTGCTAAGCTAATGCACCGCTAAGCGCCAACTTAGCTTAGCTGTGCCACCGTTGTCCCCAGCCAAGTTTTGGCGCGTTCGGACCTGCAGGGCTCCTGCAGGGCTCCCTCTCATAACACATTCCCACGTTATGAGCCCCATATACCTACATTGAGCCCCTATCCCCTTTTGAGCCCGATGTGATGCAATCACAACATGTCAAAGTATACCAAGGGGGAACCCCTCCCAAATCAAACCTCCTTAAGGAAGGGCCTGCCTCCCCACCCCATTTCCTTCCTTCCTTTGTCCGATTTTCACTTTCTAGTTTTTTCACACTCCCTCCATCAAATACACAATCCGATACAAACCCCACAAACCTTACAAACCTTCAAACTCAAAACAACCTCCACACTGATCCCACTACAACTACATACAGTAATTCATTCTGAAACCTTCACAAACATACTTTATACAGTAGCACGTTTTCAACACAGCATGTCCAACAACAACCAAACTCATCAGGAGGGTTCGACAAACCCTCCTCCCAACCACATTCACCCTCCTCCTCATCCAAATACCCCACATCCCCATACCAATAATTACGCACACTCACCTATCATATTCAACGGACCCACTCATAACCCCTATGTACAACATCCCACCAGTGCCTACTGGTATCCTCCTCCTGGCTTTTCGTACCCTCATCCATCTTTTGGGTACTCCTCGCCTAGTTGTTCTGGACAAGCTCCAATAATGGGCCCAATGATGTTCGAACAACATCCTTGGCCACCGCCGTATCTGCCAGCTCCAATGTTCCCCAATACAAATGATCCCTCTTACAACTTATCTTGTCATCATCAGCCTCCCTTGACGTCTTGTCATACTACATACCCTGGCCCTTTCTTGACTCCATATCCTATTACAACTACAACTCCTACTCCTCCTACTACCACTATAACTACTCCTGTAACCACTTCGATTCAGGCGTCTTCTGCAACCCCCGCTGCAACAACCCGCAACCAACTCTCTATTACAACCAATCAACCAACTTCCACGGAACCTGTACCTAACGTAATTGTAACACCTGTTCCTAATGTTATCGAAGATATCGTAATCACGATTGAGGAAGAGGAGCAAGTTCCAAATGAAAGAGACTCGGACTGGCCTGAAATAGGTACGTACAATTGGAATTGAGCGTAGAACATTAATACTGAAATTCCATTTGTCTTTGTCCGTCTTTTCATTTGCTATGAATTTAGGTGCACCTCCTATTCGTTTGCTTAGAGGCCCGAAAATGGGCAAAGAGTTCCTCGAAATGCAGAATGGTTTGATGTACATGTACGTGGTAGCACAACATCAAGGCTACGCTTTTTCAATCAAAAGTCATAAAACCAAAAACCAGACAACCATCCGGATTTACTTGCAATGCTCCCTTGGTTACAAGAAGAGTGGTCATAAACTGCCATCAAAAGCTTCTAAAAGGTCTTCCTTGTCCAAGAGGACAGGCTGCTTGTTCGAAGTCTCTCTTAATTACCGCGCTGGAAGGGATCATTGGACTGTCACTCAGGACAGGAAGAATCCATTCAAACATCGTCACAACCATGAGCCTTTTGATCAAACTTACAATATGTCAATTTACCGCAGATTCACCACGGATCAAAATGAACAAATACGCTTATTATCTTCTGCTGGATGTCATCAACACCGCAACCGCTACGCTCCGCTCAGGTTTTCGACCTATTTTGGGAGCGGAGCGCAGTGCTGCGCTCAATCTCACTACGCACAATATCGCTCTTTTTTATTTTTTTTCTTACTTTGGTGTGCGTAGTGCAACACCAGTGTGCGGCGCTCATCACTACAAAAGACCTGAAAAGTCTAAAAAAACCATAAAAAAGAGACTCGAGCCCTGGCTCTGAGCGGAGCAATATGCTTCGCTCAGGACTTTCCTCTCCTCGGAGCGCGGTGCGCAGCCTCCGCTCTGGGTAGCGGAGGTTTGAGCGGATGCCAAAACCGCTCCGCTCACGCTCATTCGAGCGGAGCGGTTGCGGTATTGAATTGTCATGCCACCCAAATTGGGTCCCTCATCAGTGCTGACCCCAGTTCTCGACCTCTAGTGCGGGACATGCACAATGTTTGATCGCGACTTTGACACAACTGGCTCAACAGTCGAAGTCCAGTTCAAGGATTATTTGACTTGATCTCCAAGAGCAAGTGGGCTCATCGAACACTGACTTCAGAGACTGGGACTTTGAAAAACCTCTTTTTTGCCAGCCCGTCCGCTATAGCTCTTGCTCAAAGATTTCCGACAGTGCTCAGCTTGGATTGTACTTTTAAGACAAATCGCTTTAATCTACCTCTGTTACACATAGTAGGAACAACAAATACACATACAGTCAAACCCGCGCACATGCATACCCGCGCACATGCATAACCAGCCAAAATGCATAAGTTTTGGTTTCCACCCAGCTGGTGCGGGCCAATTTTGTCATTAATTGCATAATTATGTCAAAAACCATAATGCATACTTCTTTTCAAGTCCCCAAAGTCATAATGCATGCCTACAAAGCGCCCCAGGATGTGTTTTTTTTCCATTGAACTCTGATCAAATCCTTTGCAAGTAGGATTTTGGCAACATCAGGCAGCAATGAGCCCTCTATGGGGTCAAACCGACCCCTAGTGGTGTTTTTTTCGGTGTCAAAAAAATATCTTGTCCTTGTACCCGCGCAAAATACAAACGTACTATTGCATAAACTTATACAATTTCAACAAAAACCCGTCATAATGCATATTTCAATGCATTTAGGCCAATATGCATACAAATATGCATTATGGGGGTTTATGCCTATTTGCATAACCCGCAATAATGCATAGCAAAAATTGTCTCCCCAATTTATGCATTAGCGCGGGTTTGACTGTAAATCATTCACTGTGGCCATGTCTCAAGAACATCATATTCAACAACAAAGACGATTCAGCGCAGGAGGTCCTTCTCCCTCAAAATTTTGCTACTGATGCAGAACCAGCCTTAATCAACGCAATTGGCACTGTCTTTCCTGAAGCCACACACATCCTATGTGTGTGGCACATCAATATGAACGTTGCTAAGAATTGTAAGGGAAAGTTCACCGACACTGAATGGTCTGAATTTATGAAACTATGGAACTTGTATGTGGCATCTTCGACTACCGAGGATTATGATGCCAACCTTGAGGCGCTTACCAAGATGGCTCAAGCTCACAATGTCTTCGATTATCTGCAAAACACCTGGTTACATAGACCCGAAAAATTTGTTACATTGTACACTTCTAAGTCACCTCATTTTGGTAACTCATCAACATCTTGAGTGGAAGGGAGTCACTTTTGGGCCAAACAATTTCTTGATGGACGAAATAATGATTTTGTAACGTGTTTCAATTCTTTCAGGCGTTTTGAAGAACATCAAATCAGCAAAATCACCATTTCGGTTGGCATTGAAATGACCAAAACTCTTGAGGATCTTCCAATCTTTTTCAAAGAACTTAACGGTGTTGTTTCACATTTCGCATTGAAAAAACTCAAGGAGCAGTACAAATTACTACCAGATTTGCTTCAAAAGCCTTGCACTAACACGTTCCGAGGTGCATGGGGTCTCCCTTGTTCTCACGACCTCGCAACCACCCGTGACACCAGTCAGCTCCTTTTGCCTCAACTGATTCACAACCAGTGGAAGTTGTACATGGAGGTACCTCCTGATAACCACGAAGGCCTTGTAACAGCAGCACAATCCAAATTTGACCTTATCCTAGATTTACCTGAACAAACATTGCGAAAACTCTACGGGGAGATCAGCCAGCTTGAAACTGGTCAATACGCTCTGATACCTATTTGGAACGCTGTTGTCAAGAACAACAATCAAGGACGTCCCAAAGCTACCAAATCCGGAAGATGGCAGTCTCAACATGAAATCAAAGAGTCAAACAAAAAACCTTGTCTCAGCAAATGTAGTTACTGCAAAATTGGTGGACATAAAATCACCACCTGTCCTTCACGTGCTTCTCAGACCGCCATGGCCTCAGGTTCTGGCGAGTCTGGTTTGCGTTTGGATTCAATTTTCGCCGGCGATTCTGAACTGGATGAATTCGACAAGAAGAATGATTTATTCTTTGACGAGACAGCAGAAGTATCCAAACTGTCACATTCAACTGCAAGCTCACAAGATCTGCCCTTCAGCAACTCATCATCTGAACACGATTCAGAAGAAGAGGGTGACCTATGTCCGTTTTGTGACGATGTGCTTCCAAAAGAACCATTGGGGAAGCTGACTCAAATGAAGGCTACATTACTTGTGATTCCAAACATCCGCAAAGGTTTTGGACGTATAGGAGCCATGTCACTGCCAGTGAGTTTCTATACCTTTTGTCTATCTCTTTTGTTTGTATAGGTCTCTTATTCGTTTTTTTTCCTTTGATTGTGTCCAAAGTTCACTCAAACAGCAGACTTCTGCCATCTACATCATGCCGAATCCAAGATTATTCCCATGGTTGTCAGCAAGGGATGGCCGACCTCCATAAATTTTGAGGAATTGCCAAGGTATGTTTTCTCATTTCATTTTGTCGTTCCTCTATTCAATTAGGACACTTACATATGAATCAATTCCACAGGCGTATTGAAAAACATTTGTCTGTCTTGATCAACATAATTAACCAAGTTGAATTGTCCCCTTACCTTCAAGATTGCAAGAAGCGTTTAATCACTAGTGGCCCTTGTTTGCGGCGAATCAATGCCCAGTTTAGCAATTTTGAGGTTGAACAACCAGGCTAGTGAGTCGATTCCTTTCTTCTCAACCTTTAGCACTTTGTTTGTGAACTTGATGCCTGTGTGTTTCTCAGTTACGGGTATCAAGGCTATGAAATCATTGTTAGGTCACTCGAGTCAGCATTCATCAAAGACATTACCTCTGAAGCGCATCTAACTCCTTCAAAGGCAGCCCCCCTTGGACCTGAACTATATTTGCATCAAGTACTTATTCCCGAAATCGCCACATGTTTAATAGCCGAAGATTTAAAACTTGAACGGAATGATCCTGAGGTCCGGTCAACTTTGGAGGCTAGCCGCTCCTTTGGCACTGTAATGTTTCCGAGTCCAGATGATTCCACTAATGATGATGTAATCATCATCACGCCCAAAACCTCGAACACGAAAACATGCCCTGCAACTCGTAAATCATCAGCTGCACATAAGAGTGTGCTTAAATCTCCGGTTGAAGTAAACGTATTGAAGCAACTACCTGGATCAATTGTCCCTTTTGTCAAATCAATTTTCAATCCACCTGCCTTAGGAAATTGTGGTTACCTCGCTATTGCTTCTGCACTCAATCTGAAGAATTGTGACAGTTATGTCACAGTCCGGCGGGAACTGCTAGAAGAGCTGCTGGCCCACAAAGACGACCATCAAAACTTGATATCATCAACTGCTGCGTTGAAGGCCGGAGTGAAGACTAGGCGCACTACGCAATGCAAATCATTTGCCGCGGAAGTCATCGACGATTTGCAAGTTAGACTGCAACCACAAGGGATCACTTGCGAGCGCGAGTACTGGTTACGTATGCATTTCTTGGGCTATGTTATTGACAGTGCTTTTGACCGTCCCCTTGTAGTTTTTGACCCGGTAGAAGCCAACTGTTTCACTTATTTCCCTTATCGCACGCCGCCAAACGACAAGGATCCAATTGTCCTCGCCTTCGTCAATGGGGATCATTTCGTCTATCTTGGAATGAATGGCAAGGCAGTTCCCTTGCCTGGTCTTTACGGCCAAGCCCTCTCGATATCAATTGGCACCACCTATATACCTCAGTGGGTTTTAAAGTATCAAGGCCAATTAGACATGTGGATCAGTCGACACCACATTGATACGCAGTAAATTTCTCTCTCTGTCTTGTTGTTTTGTTTATGTTGTACATGAACGATATTGTTCTGCTTGTTGTTGGTTCTGTGCGCGTTGCTTGTTTTGGTTCTTTTGTGTCTTTACTATGTTTTTTTTCTACTTTTGTCTATGCTCTATGCGCTCTATGCTCTATGCCGCCTGAAATTATGATACTTATGCGTTATGCCATGCATTACAAGTCCCAAACAGTAGACAAGAGAGGACAACCGAGTATCAGAGTCAGAGTCGATACGTGATCATAGGTCATAAAAGACTTTGTGAGGTGAGATGACGAAAGAGTAAAAAAAAACAAATTGCCCGGTTTGCCCGGTTTGTATGAAAACGGGCTGTACCAATGGGTGGCGCCTGGTGTCCGACCCGGTTACGGGCGCCGGATATCGGACACCGGGCGCTAAATAGTGGGATCCTACTTTTTTTGGCGGGGAAGACGAGGCCAAAAGAGGATATATGCTTATATGTGTGTATTATAATATGCTTATGTGTAGGTGAAAAGCCATATACCATGTGTAACGATTGTCAATCCCATGATACCAGTCAACTGATTCCGGGTATTCACATCACAACCTGAAGATAGGACGATCGAAAAGACAGAAAAGTACAAGAAAACCAAGGAACTTCAAAGCGAATGGCAAATCTAATCGATTCAAAGAATGCATTGAAGTTACCAATCTATAATAAATTGAGAAACAAACGAGTCATCTTAGCTTCTTCGTCAGAAAGAAGAATAAACCTTTTAAAATCAATAGTAAAGTCAACCCTCAGGCCTTATCATCGTCCCCTTCTCCCAAGAAACAACTATTGACGTATGATACTTTTTTGCTGCGTTATTTTTAGGGAATCAATCCTGAAGTTGTACCAAGTACATTCAAAGAAGATTTAGATCATGAAACGTTTAATGAATTTGAAGAAATCGATTTAAAAGGTATCAAATATTCATTAACCAACTCAACTGAAAAAGCTATCGAAGTTTATACAAGATTAGTAGTTGAGTTTCTTTCATAGCTTCATAGACCCTTATTCCATCTCAAGGAAAACAAACGCAAACCAATTGATGAAGAAAATTGTTGTGATTTTTTGTTGATTTCAGGAAGAATCACCAGAAAATGCACCTGATTTAGTTATTGGATCAGATACAATTATTCAAAGTTATATTCCAAAATCAAATCAAGCATCCATCATTTTAGAAAAACCTACATCAAAATCAGACCAATTCAAGATTTTAAAAGATTTGGTAACGGCTGATGAAGATAAGATTATTGAAGTGATCACTTCAGTTACCCTGGTTTTTCCTTCTTTACTTTCTCCTGGGTTTAAACTTAAACATTTATCTGAAAAAACTAGGATTTGGTTTGGTGATTTGAATGATGAAGATCTTTTAGCTTAGTTTAGTTGTCCTTCATCTTTTTCTTTTGATTATTATCTTGAACTGATTTTTTTTGTTTGATTAGTATTGAAAATGGTGAAGGGATTGATAAAGCTGGTGGATTTGCTATACAAGGTATCGGGTCTCAATTTATTAAAAGGATTCATGGTGATTATAATAATGTAGTTCAGTCACTTTTTTTTTGCTTTTTTTCGATACCTAAAACTATTATTTGAATTTCTAATTAAAAACTTACACAAATTTTCTTTTCTTTTTCATTTTGATAGGTTGGATTTCCAATTTACGCTTTTTTGAATTTGATGAAATCTTTAATTAATGAAGATGACGAATTCTTGTCAGATTGAGGTTTTGTTTCTATAGTACCTTTATTTTTCTCATTTCTGAATTGATCTTCCTATGTTCGTGTCACAAGATCGTAGTTTCTTTTTCCAGTATAGATCTACCTGTGAATAAATTTCTTGAATTGAACTCCTGCAAAAGCTTTGGTAAGTTTTTTTTACAATATCTAACGTTTGAAGCAGCTTATAAATCTTACTAGTTCGTACTTGGTTTGAATGATTTGCTATTGTAATTCCAACGTACCTCCTCTCTTGGTCTTCTTTCTAAATTATTAATACTTCTTGAATCATATGCATGTCAATATTTCTTTTCATCACGTCAATTTTTGTGCATAGTTTGTCATGGTATCCTCTACTCATTACAGTCACGCAAGGTATAAAAGGCTCAAAAGGTGGATGTGAAGCTGTGTTTCTAAGAAAAGAATCTGAGCATTCATGACAAACGTTGAGTTTGATATGATTATAAATTCAAAGGTTCACCTTCACTTTCTCAAATTTCCAATGGTGGTTCTGAACGTGACTTTCACATTGCTTGTCATTTTATGTAGGTGCTTCTGCGGATCCTCCAAATTCACATCCTCCTTTACGTCATCGTGTACTATTTGGTGCACCAGTTGGTGACTATTTTGATTTTTTGATAAAAATGTTCAAGAAAGAAAAAACACTTTGAGCAATGTGAGACTCTCGATAATGGAACCTATCACTCCAAATCTGTTTTCGTACGTGTCCCGATCAGCAATTTGAAACTCCTCATTCAGTACTCTTGACGCTCGCCGTGACGCTCGCGCACAGCTGTCTCAGCAAACCTTATTTATAATTTACGGCTTGCGGTAAATCCAATTCGAAGCTTGGGTCGAATGATTCCTGTGGCAATCAAACCGGTCAAAATTTCATAGAATTTCATTTTACTTTGATGGTTTAACTTGGGATAAACTGACCGATTTGATAAAGTCAAGTCAGAAAGATTGCAAAAGGTTTAACTGTGTGTTGAAGAAAACAAGGAGAAAACGAGTTAGATTGAGATGAATTGAGAATATGGTTAAATATGTTGTGAAAATAACTTTCAATGGGCTACCAATTTACGATTACATGTTTGAATTCCATAGGCCTCCACTGCGATTCTTTAAATGTGTGAAGTTGTATGCCATGCCATGGTAATCTTAGGATTGAAGTTTTGATAGCTTTCAAAGTTGACTCTATAGAGTTTTACGTATTAGACTATATAGAACCACTAGAGACCACCACTAGTCAAATTCAGTTCTGTTTAACATTCTCTATATCAAATCACATCCAAACAAATCCAGCACTGCATCAGTTTCTCTCAATTTACCATCTTTCCTTCTTAATCATCAGTCCTACCAAGTCTTTTGCCATCTACATCCTCCATAATATCTCCCGCTGACATAAGCTATACTTCAAACCTAGTTCCATGAGCTTTCTTTAATTTTATAAAACCAAATACTTTTGTTTTCTTCAAGGAATTCTTATATTAACCCGTGGTTGATCATTACACGAGCTATAATTCATTTCCCTCCTCAATTCTGAATACTCAAAACTATTGATGTTAAACGATTGAAGGTCTACCTCAACTCGGGTAATCTTTAATACTCATCCATCAACCTCATATTTATCAATTATCAACCCATAAAATTAATCAATCTTCACCTAACACGTGCACATTTAATAAAGACGGCTAATTCTGTTCGTCAAGCCAAGTCGATCAATTTTTCATCAAAAAGAAATCCGAAAAATGACTCAAAGAACTTCACCCACAACTTTGACAACACCAGCATGGAATTCGGCTGAACAAACTGACATACCAAACTTAACAAAACAATCACCTCAATCATGGTCATCTGCTTCATCTCATCATTCTAATTTACAACAACATTCTTTAATTCATCATCATCAACATTCCGAAAAATCTCCTCCTCTCTCTTCTTCTTCTTCTCCTGCTTCGCCTTCTCCCTCTTCTTCTTCTGTTTCTTCTTCTCGTGCTTCTATCAATTCTCAACATCAAGTTGAAAAATTCCTTAAGAACCTTGGGCTTTCGGAATATATTCATATGTAAGTTTATTTCATTTTGATCAGATATTATTTTCTTGATTTCCTTATCGCTTACTCATCTTGGTATTTCTAACCTTTCTTTTTAGATTTTTGGCAGAAGGTTTTGACACAATGATGTAAGTTTAATTGATCATTTTAAAATGCCCAATCGGCTGTATGAACAAAAAAGTTTGGAGAAGAGAAAACATCAACTCATGCTACTTGTTACCTTACCTTTTTTGTTGTCTTGACAGTTCAATCGAAGCCATCACTGAGGATGATATGGAGCACATGTCAATGAAACGTGGTCATAGACGTGTTCTACAAAGAGCTTTGTCGGCAAGAGGTACTAAGATTGATCAAACTCTTCCATCTCAGCCGCTCTTCTCAGTACATCCTAGTAAGTCACCAACCAAAAACCTTGTCGCTTTGGCTTTGTATATCTTGGAAACTTATTAGAGTGATTTGTTTTGAACTTCCAGGTCATCTTAATCAATCATCTCATACTCCTTCTGAGAGGGAAAGCGAATCAGGATCAGTGACGCTCAACTCTAACACTTCTGCTCCCATCAATTCACGTAAGTAATCCTGCATCCAAACCCCCCACATGCATAATCAAAAGATTTCATATATCTGACTTTCACTTCTTAATCTTATGTAGTGGTTGAATTTCCAAGTCATCAATTCTCAGTACATCAACAACAAACTCTTTTAAGACCAAGAAGTGTTTCATCTGAATCTACTCAAACCAAAAACTTAGATCAAGAGAATTGGACGGATTCTATTGGATCTCATTCTCGACCATTCCCTAAAACTTTGATCGTCTCTACTCCTAATTTTCAAAATTCAAATCCTAAACGTAAATATCAAAGACATCCTAAACCTGAGTATGTTAATTTTCTTTTGATAATTTTTTTTATTAATTAAACTGATACATATTTTTGTTCATTTTTTTTACCGTTACTTAGCCTTAATGCACCTGTGAGTTTACTTTCTTTTGGAAATCTGTTCTTATATCTTGTTTGTTTATAATTCAATAATGTTTTGATCACTAATTATTTTTTGAAATTTTATTTGATTAGGAAAAACCATTGTCTGCATATGTGATGTTTAGTAATCAAGTAAGAGAAGAATTAAAAGGTCAACAAATCTCTTTCACTGAAATGTAAGTCATAAAAATCCGATCATATTTTTGAAAAAAACATTGAGGATTGATCAGAAACTTATTTTGAAATTATTATCTTCTTTATAGTGCTCGACTTGTTGGTGATCGATGGAAAAATTTATGTCCTCGATTAAAAGATGTAAGTGACTAATTGTAACTCTTGAATAATGATAGTAAAAGAGATTCAAGAATCTGATACTTGATGGTTTTGTACTTTTAGTCGATCATTAATCGAGCAGCTGAAGCTAAAAACGTTTGGTCACTTCAAATGGATCAATACAAAAAAACACCAGAGGTAAGCGTTTCCCAGAAGTATAAAATACAAAACGTTAAAATTAATTTGATTTTTCTTGATAGTACGTGAATTATCAAGTATATGTAAAAGAGTTTAAAGCGAATAATGGGAAATCAAAGTCATCAAATCGACCCAGTTCATCAGGAAATCAACCAACTAATTCTTCCAACCCGAAACCCAAAATTAACTCATTACCATCATCTTTTCATAAACCAGAAGAAATAAACAAAAGTGAAGAAGAAGAAGAGGAAGAGGAAGAGGAATTAGAAGGGGAAGGGGAAGAATCTTCTTCGGAATCAGAAGTAGAACAACAACCTAACTCATCATCCAAACGAATAAAATTGTCAAGTATTGAAACTCATTTACCATTCTTAAACATCTTAAAACCTTTGAATACTCATCATCATCATCAATCTCAACCTAACTCTTCTACTTCTACTACTGATCCTATGAATTTTCCAAGAAGATCTTCAACTAACAATACATTCTTTGAGAATAATTCTTCTAGAGGGATGAGATTACCTGTAGATCTTAGACACTTAACTTCTTTAGCTTCTTCTTCTTCTGCTTCTTCTAAAGATTCAAAAGTTTAGATTTCTTTCCTTTTAAGTTTAGATCTATCTTCTTTTTTGGATTTTTATTTTCTTTAGGTAGATTAGCATTTTTTTTTGGAATTTTATCATTATCATTATCTTCGTTGTTTTTTGCATTATCTTTTTTTAATGATCTTTTTCTGTTACTCTTTTTGTTAGCAAAAAACCTCACATATACATCTTTGGAATATCTTATAAATGTATTTCGATAATTATAAAAGATAATACTACTACTACTAATAATAATTATTATAATGAGCGTAAAATGTCTCACTGGTTATTCACAAAGAACCCCACTTAGGCCGGGGGCGAATCTGAAAAAATTGCGTCAAAAGGCGCGCTCCCAAAACCAGAAAGTAGGTATGTAGGCGCACCCAAAACTACTGTAGTGAGTGCTGCTTACTTGGTTGTGTTCACTGGTCACACAAACTCTCACTATTATGTCATTGAGAAAGATCAAGCACAGATCCCAAGGCAACAACTGGTCCAAGTGGAATGAAGAGCCAATTGAATGTATTTTGCTGTCAAAATCCTCCAGATCCTGCTGAATTGGCTTTTCCCTGCTTTCTCACCGCCAAAGAGTGTGACCACTCAGCTGACACAGGCGAGGAGAGATGCACCTATTGTGACCATGTCGTGGATGGTAACACCAAAAAACAACTCTACAGAAGATCCAATCAACTTCAAACAAATTAAATCAAAGTGATTTGAATTGAAGATGTTGAAAACCAATCAATCAAAAGATTTTTGGGTCCAGATGACTTGAAGGAATTTGATGAAGGTTTGGAATCTTGTTCAGAAAATCATATGGCCTCTGATACTCATTTGAAGCTGGCATTATGAATGAGTTTCAAAGAGTTTACCCGAATTGGTATGAGACGTGAGTAGGTTTATGATACGCGGCAAGGATTTTCGAATGCGCGACTTGGCCCTGCGTACGTCCAGATTACGTCGCCATAAGTGAGACTTGTACTTTGACTGTTAAGCTTGTTCGATTTCAACTCAACAACAACAACAACCAAGAAGTGAATAGGATGACTTCAAACCCTCAAACTAGATTAACATTATCATACGATCCCTTAAACCAATTACGATCAGAATTTATAATCAAATCAAACTCACGTCAATTCTCATCACAATTTTCAAATTTATATTATCAAAGATTATTAAAATTAAAATCAAATTTACAATCATCTTCAAAAGTTAAATGGAAAGATGAATTTAAATCTGTTAGGATCTTGGATATTCTTGTTGGTCAAAAGATGGTCGTTATTGGAACTGTTTATTGTGATTTGAAATTTAAACCTAATGTTTTAGATGACCTTTCGAGAGAAGTAAGTCATGGATCTTTTAAAAAGTTTCCCAAAGAATGTTGAATGTTGATTTGGGTTTTGGATAGCATCATTTAGGTACTACTAGTAGTTTGAAGAAATGGGTTTCTAAAGATGATCAACAGATCACGGTCATGTTAGAAGACGAATCTGGTAGGATCAAACTATTATTTGATCATCCAGAAGAGTTTAATTTCGTCACTGGTAAGTCCTTTCCAAACCGAACCAAACGCGTCTTCTGGAATTTCTAATCCTAAACGACACTCAAACCGTTTGATTTGAATTAAAATAGGTACAGTGATGGCAGTTTTAGGAGAAGAAACTGAGAATGGAGATTTCAAAGTACATGAGATAGTGAATGCAGGAGTACCGAAACAAAGCATTCGATCCGACCTCAAAGAAGAAGAAAAAGAAGCATGGGTCGGAATCATTTCAGGTTTAGATTTAGATGGAATCGAAGCTATCAGATTAGATCATCGATGTGAAGTTTTATCAGATTGGTTAAATGGTCAAATCGGATCTGAAGAAGAAAAGTCTTTAGGATTAAGTGTGAGTAGGCTGATTATTGCTGGAAATTCAGTGAGAGCTTCTAGTTCAAGTTCTAATCCGATTAAAGTTAAAGATAGTAAAAAACCTGTAAGTCTGATAGATTTCCTTTGACGGTTTTGGTTTGATTTATTCTCGTTTTTCAAGAAAGTTGATTGGGTTCTTTTCGTTAGAAACGTTACGGTTATGATCCTTCAAGTTATACGGCTTTACCTATCGAAAGATTAGATCAAGTTTTAGCTGAAATCGATTTACCAATCGATTTGATTCCTGGTTCAAATGATCCGACTACTCAAGCTTTACCACAACAACCTTTACATCAATGTTTATTACCTAAATCGAATTTTGAAAAACAGAATAATAATCTTGTGAATGGTCCTAATCCTTGGTGGGCGAAGATTGGTGGACAAACGTGAGTGAGTTCTTAAGTGGTTTTGTTTTTAAAGAATGAAGGATTCTGATTTGGAAGATATGATTCACACTTAGGTTCTTAGGTACATCAGGCCAAAATCTAGATGATGTTTATAGATATGTAACACATGAAGATCGATTGAAACTAGCTATTCAAATGTTAGAATGGAATCATATCTCACCCACTTCACCTGATACACTTTGTAAGTTTTCAATCCGATCGAATCTAAACCACTTTCTTCACTTTGATTTTATACCGGTTTTAAGAATTGATGGGGTCTTGTTTTTTGGGAGGTTCTTAGGGTGTTATCCTTTTAAAGATCATGATCCATTTATTTTAGAAGAATTACCTAAAGTGTTCTTTATTGGAAATCAACCCAAGTTTGAAACCGAATTAGTCACTTTTCCATCAGATGATCAAACTAAAAGTCAGTCAACTTTGCTATATGTTGATAACCATACGATTAAAGAATGCTGACTCGAAGTTCGATTTGGATTTGTTTCGATTAGATGTAAAACAAACCAGAGTGATTCTGGTACCAAGGTTTTCAAAAACGGGTATCATCGTTTTAATTAAACCTTCTACATTGGAATGTAAGAGTATTACACTTTTAAAAGAAATGGTCAAAGGTTCAAACGAATCGGATGATGAAGAGAATCATGAAGATTTGATTGAAAATGAAAAAATCGAATTCGAAATGGATGAAGATGATGAAGATGAATAAATAGCAAAAACAAAAATAAAGAGAAAAAAACCAAATGAGATTTGAAGTTTCTTTTGTTGTTGTTGATGTTTAATTTAATTTAATTTGTTTGTTATTAACATAATTATTGGACCCAAAAATATGTAATTGAATTGCATGCAAATTGTTTAGATTCTTTCAAGATTTGGTTTATGATTTTGAAGAATTTAAGAAGAGGTTATAAGTCATTGATAAATCATTGATTAGGTTCAGTAAGATTCAACTTTCAGATGCACAAGACTACTTCTTCAACTCAACTCCGGCTATGACTCATGAAGATGCTTTGTTTGTGGAATCCAATATCCTTGGTATTGAAATCCATCTTTTCTGTCTTATTGTATTGCCCTTGGAATTCTCACTTTGAAAGAGAATTTGAAAGCAAAGAGAAGATTTTGATTGTGCTTATGAAAACAGCTTGGTACATATACAAAACTTGACTGAAAAAGCAACAAGTACTGCTTTGATGCCTCACAGAAAGGGGAGCCTACTTCTGATAGGCTTATTTCAAACAATACCACCAAATGCAGAATAAGTCGTGCCTCCTGTTAACTTTGTAGCCCATTTGAACTATCAACTTGATTGACCCACTGGCATCAAATTGCAGGAACATTCAATCACCAGTCCAAAAAAATCAAGAGAAATCATCTCGCACATGGTCCGAGGACCGATCAAACGGAGCGAGTTTCCATTAAAAGATGTACCGATGATGTCACCTCGCTGCGGGAATCCTCTGAACTTGCCCGCTTTCAAGGTTTGGAGTTAACAATTTTGGCTGCTGGCATGTTGGTCATCTGTACAATTTGAACACTTGATCGGCGGTATGGGTTGTGACTCCCGCGGGGAAGGGGGGGCTTTTTTATTTACGTACGTGATCTTGGGCAGGCTGAAGTGGTGACGAGGTTTCAATTGAGTGGCACTAGAAATTCTTTTAGAATAAGTTGTAGAACGATGAATTGGAATTGGTGGATGTAGAAGAACTTAAGCCGAGGGAAGTGCGGAGTTTATAAGGGAGTTTGTGATGGCTGGGCTGGCATATTCATCAACCGAATTTGAATGTTGAAGCCTTCATATCTCATTCTATAGTTACCCTACTTTCCAAAATGCATAGGCAAGATTAAAATCAAAATCCTCACACTGATCGATTTCCATTGGAGAACTGATTGATAGATGGAAGGAAATCATATGGAAACACTGAAACTGATCATGACCCTACACCCACATCCAATCTCACATATAACGTATTATCTGAACATTCTTGTGGATACTTTATCCAAATAAATAGTAAGCTCGAGCCATCTTCATCGTCAGGATGGTCAATGAGCGGTAAAGATCAGTGAGGGTGACCTAATTACAAGCAGGAAGGAAATATAGACTGATGAATATGTAATTATTTGGGACCATTCTCAGTCTTAACTTCATCCTTCGCCCTTTAGAATACTGTTCGACGTCATCTTCTTCGAAAGTGATCTGGAAGATGGTCTTAAAGTCAATTTCAAGGTTTTTTTTTTCAATTTGCACCCATGTAATTTGAGTCTCACGATCATGATGGATGAACTCAGAGACTGCCTTGTTAGAATCTTTTCATCGGTTTAAACAATCATCTCAACTTGAAGGAACGTGTTTGAGGTTTTGGAATTCAGTTATGAAAAAGAATATCAAACAGGCGTGGTTAAATTCAAACTCTATCCATCCTGCAACAGTCAACTCGCCGCGGAGAGAATTTTAAAGGGCGAATGATCATTGAAGTTTCGGATCTTGCTTGGATAGAACTCATCATGACTCGAAAGAAAGTATATCAGTTGAACTTGTACATATTTAAATTCAACCCAACCCATCACCGGTCATGATCAGAATGAGGTGATACCAACTTGAAGGTTTTACTTTGAGTCTTTGCAAAGCGGATGAGCTGTGATAGCTGTGATTCGAGAATGCGCAAGAAGAACCAAGAAAGAAAAGAACAGAACGAAACGAATTCCAAAACAAGAATCCAGAGTTTCTAACTGGGTTTGAGTCCACTCGTCAGTTAAGCTTACCATGCTCGTCCAACACACATATTGAGATATCTTCAGACCCACACTCAACTCCGCCTCACTTCAAACCTTATCATGTAATATATGTACGAGCAAGGAAACAGTGGCCGTGGAAAGTGGTTGATTGAAAGAGATAGTGTACATTGAAGACTTGAGATTTTTTTTTGAATCTCAAGTCAATCGTGGAAGGTCAACATATCAATCATATCAATCACTTCAAAATCAATCAATCACTTTATCATTCCAAGTTATATCATCGATGCGCATATGATTGATTTCTACATATCAAACTTATTCCTTTAACCTCTTCACTTTATACTATTACTGTTCCACTATAAAAATTATATACCCTATCTATTTCCATTTGCCATCACATAATCACCCTTCACCTGAAGGTGTTTCGTGTCTGTTCTAGGTTTATCAAATTGATTGATAAAATCCGTATCTTTCGTATTCTTCCGTTTGCAAGTGTCATATTTATTATATCCGAGTTCAAAGTAGGAATCTGTTGTATCTAGGTTGAGTGGATTCTTTTTGTTGCTCAAGTTGTCTAATCTTGCTGATGATTTTTTGCGAGCTCACAGGATTTCTTGATTCTCGGGATTAAAAAAATCTAGCTTGAAGATCAGTGGCGGTGAGTCTGACGGTGGAAATCGTCGAGGTGATCTTGTAAATGAGTGAGCCTTCAATAGATCTAAAGGGTTTTGTCGCTGGATCTGATGCGAATCTTTTTGTGCTTCAAAGTGTCCTTTTCTACTCGTCTTCATACATCTATCATGAGTCCGACGTCGAGCAGTCTCAATAATACTAGTCATCACCTTGATGATTATTATCATCCAAATCATCATTCTTCTCTTAATCAAAATCATCATCATCATCATAATCCATCTCAGTCATGTTTCCTTGGTCTCCATCTTAACCACTCACTATCTGAATCCAATGCTACTCTGACCACCGAATTACTCAGTTTCAATCCATCTTATAATTACGCAAATGCGGTTTCACCCCTCTCAGACGTAAGCCATCATAACAGTCTTCACGCTAGACTACCAATCACAACCAATTCTCTCTCGGACTCGAGCCATTCAGTTGCATCTTTATCTCCATTGTCATCTCATTTCTCTTCAGATCAGGGGACTCGCTGTAAGTTTAACAAGTTGAAAGCTATTGCCACTGGCCATCAATCTTTACTTTGATCTTCGAAATAGAAGATATTCTGATGTTGATTCATCATTCAATTTCAATAGTCAGTTCCCAATCACCGCCAATGCCTCAAACTCATTTTCAACTTAGCTATCAATCATCTACCCCTGTGGCTATAAACCACGAACAAAAACAGAATTCCGTCCTTCAGCTGGACCCAAATTGGAACAGAATCCATCCAACCAATTACAAATCAACTAGACATCAACATAACCATTCAGAACAAACCTCCGTTCAACCATCAAAACCATCATATTCAGATGAATCTTTAAAATCTCTCACTTTGATTGATCAACACAAAACTCAAGAAGATCAAAGAAAACAATGGTCAAAACATCAAAATCATGAAAAACTTGTTTTAGTTGAAGAAGACATTCATTCGATCACTAATCAAACTCAAATCACTAACAATTTAGTCTATGCACGAGATCATGCTGAGATCATTGGACATAGTCGAACGGTTTGTGGAAGGAAATATCGAGAATATCCGTTAGTTGAGATTTAGATTTGTTTGCATATGTATCTGATTTGATTGTAACTGACATTGAGGTTTACATAGATGTCAATTTTGTAAGCTGCTTTGATCACTTTACGTATCCATCCATATCTTTGGGATTAAGATACGAACCCGAACAATTTCCAAGAAGTAGTAGGGAAATCAGAAGTTTGATAGATTGAATCTTTTATTTTCCTCTGTTTTTTTCTGCATATCATCAAAGGCAACAAACTTTTTGCAAGACCTTCTACTTTACTTCAAGTAAGTTTTCATTCTTGATCTATCATTTTTAAACAAAACTATATGAAACCTTGACTGATCTGATCATCAATCATTTACCTCTTCCAGCATAATCGTACGTTGAAAAATCTCAATGATCTTCCAAAGTACACGACGTATCAATGATCTGAACAGCATGACTGATTTGCTCATTGTTTCATTGATATATTCAATTCATACGACCAAAACAGGTGTTCATACAGGAGAAAGACGTAAGTTCAGGACTATCCCTCACTGAAATCTTCTTACCAAAAACAAGGAATGAATGATACTAAAGTCACTGTCTTGATGTTTGGTATCTGCTATCCATGTTGGGTATGTTTGTGTGCCATATCACAGCGTATAAATGTGAAGTTGAAAACTGTAAACAAACCTTCAACATCCTTTCTAATGCTCGAAGGCATACTAAGAGACATTTAAGCTCGATCGAAAGTTGTGGAAGTTTTGATCAAGAATGAAATTAGTGCAATAGATCAAAACTGTTGATGTTGTGTCTATTTTCTACTTATGTGTGTGCGAACTTGTGTGTGGCTTTCACTAGGATACACCTATGTGACATGTAGTAGTTAGTGTTTAGCTCAGTGCCGATGGCGGAGTAGCTAGATCCCTCGTCACTCTACGACTTGGGATCCTATTAGCTAACGTGCCTTGATCCACCATCGGCACTCAACAGGTACTTATGCAATTGTCACTCTACGACTTGGGATCCTATTAGCTAACGTGCCTTGATCCACCATCGGCACTCAACAGGTTATGAGCCTGCGTCTAAAATAGCTGCATTGAAATTCCCAGATATTCTAGATTCTTCAAACTTAATCTTGAAAATTCATTTTTATTAATAGAGTGACCACCCGATCAATCAAACTTAAATCGGATATTCGACCTGGAATCTAAACCGAAGATGACTCGTGCAGCTGCAAAGGCATTCGCCAATAGGTTTGCATCAATGACTAAAGATCTGCCGATTAAGTTAAGCAGCATCGCGAAACTGGAAGTCGACGGTTCAAACTTTACAACATGGGAACGTAATATTACAAATTACTTAGAGCATCCGCACTCGTGCGGTAAATCGCGTGCGGTAAGGTAAAATTTACCGCAACTGCGGGGCCTTTCCCACACTGGTGAGAAATTAGGCCCGCGGTAGTTAACTTTTGATCGATTTGCGTTAGCGAATCGGTAAATTTACCGATTGGCTAACGCATGTGGTAGCCAAATTACCAGCCCCCTCTTCACTTCTCAAGCACACCAACTTGCCAACTTGCCAACTTGACTCAACTCCGACTCAACTCCTCTTGATTCCTCTCGACTCAAAACACCCGACTTAAGAATCAATGGAGACCCGACTGTCTTCTAATTCATCAAACTAATGGGTATGTCTGGTTTCTTACTGTATGATTCTCTTTATCCAACATTGATTAAGATTGTTCTACTTTACATGTGATTATATATATGTTCATTGAGATTTTAGATTTATCAATATCGAATTGGGTTTAAAAGGGTTTTAGATCAAAGTGGATCAATTTCTGATCGTTTGTTTTGATTTTAGAAGGTTTTGAACATGTCTTGTCGTTTGGATTGACTTCAAAAGGATTTGAAAAATAGATATCACATTCAACTGTAGAGGGGAACTATGCAAAAGGGTCTTCATTATCTGCATTTCTTTTCAAATTCTCAATGGTCTTCAACATGACAACTTTTAATTGATGGTGCAATGAATTTTTGTTTGCTTGTCTACAAACCTCTCTGTGCCAACCATCCAGTGGTGATGAGATCTCAAGTTACTCTCAAATGAACTTCCCTGTCCCAAAGCTCTTCTTCCCTGGCAGGGATCGCTTGAAATGCACTGATTGACTGAAAAGTCGATTGATTTTTTTGTTTGGTATATTTTGAGTCTGTAAACTCTGCATCAGTGTGGAAACTCAAATTACCTCTCAAGTTAGTTAACTACCGTGCAGGTAATTTTGGCACGAGTGTGAAATTTGGTCACGTTAAGTAATTTTTTACTTAATGTAGAGGTTGTTACCGCACATGACCAAGTTAACAACCGCAAACGAGTGCGGATGCTCTTAGCTTTGATTCCCGATGTTGCCGACTATCTTGAACCTACTATGATTCCGGGGGATGAGAATTACAGGCCCAAATATGCTGAAGTGGTAAACAGTATCTTGTACTGGACGATGCATGACGAGCTGTCTAGGATGGTGGACAGTATTGAGCATCCGTGTGGGCGTTTAGCTGAGCTTAGGAAACAATTTTCAAAAGTTTCGTTTGCCGGAAGATGTGCTAAGTTGATTGAACTCAATGACTTGAAATATGATAGTGGTGTAGGAAGTTTAGAAAGTCATTTGAATGTGTTAAGGAAGAAGAAAGAAGATTTGAAAATGATTGGATTGGATTTATCGGATGAGATGTTTGCTATTATCGTCAGGAATTCAATGCCAGCAGACTTTCCAAATGTAGATGCAGCTTTTGAAGACCGTATTGCGCAAAATCCGGCAACTGTAATCACAACTAGTGATGTACAGAAGGCGATTACGGCGGCTGATATTCAATATCGAAGAGTTAAAGGTCCAGAGGCTTTGAAGGTCACGACTCGTATTCCTCCGACAAGTGGTAACTCGTCAGCATCCACTTCGTTCAACACGTACAGGCCACAAAGATGTTACAACTGTAACGGATTTAATCATTTTGCGAATCAGTGTAGACGCAAACGTCAATTTCAATCTCGTGAGAAGGCATCTACCAGCGGATCTGTCAAGACTAATGAAGTCGAGTTAGAAATGGCTGAATTGGATCTTCAACCTTGGGATGATCCTAAAGATGTTACTGTTAGTGACGTTCGCCTGAATACTTCAGTTGATGATGCTATTTTTGATACCGGGGCTACCCACCACATTTTTAATTCACCAGAAACATTCATGAATCTCAAGAAGATATCACCGATTAAGAGCATCTCCTATCGTCTCGGTAAACGGCTTCGGTACGGTAAATTTTACCGTACCAAGGGTCAAAACTCCCAATCGTGTCAAAATCATGCATCGGTACCCACAGAATCTGTAGAAATTCTGTAGAGGTCCAGTAAATTTGCTGGACCTCTACCAATTCTGCAGAGGTCGGTATCTGCAAATCTGCTCGACTTCTACCGAGACGATCCTACAACTCATCCTCAAATCAGTCCCACTCTATCCCACTACACCTGTATCACCATCAAACACCAATTTCATCTTGTAAATTCTCCGTTTTCTGTGATCAATGGTTTTCAAATGGTCATATAGATAACTTGGCTGTTCTCTAATTGATCTTTTTCTAATTGATCTTTTTCTAATCGATCGTTTTTTGATTGACTTTTTTCAATCGTTTGTTTTCAGCTCGTTTGATTTCAGCTCGATTGTTTTCAGCTCGATTGTTTTCAAGTCAATTGTTATGAAGTCAATCATCTTGTTTTCAAAGTGATTGTTCTGAAATCAATTGTCATCAGATCAATTGTCTTTGCAAACTGATTGTGCTCGGATGGATTGTTGCGTGATAGAACATGAGATTTGCAGTTTTTTTTACCGAACATACGATAGTGGCAATGAGGTGTTTCTGTACAGTATGTACTGTACTTTGTTTGATATAATGCAACGATAGTGGATTTCCACCGTTCTGTATCAAGTGATACCGTACCGAGTCAGTATGTACAGAAAATTTACAGAAAATTTACTCGAACGATAGGAGATGCTCTAATGTGATGGTTGCTGATGGGTCTACTAAGGCGGTGATTACAGGTGTTGGAAGTGTTAGGATATCAGATATGGATAATCCTTTGTTAAATTGTGTATTAGAACCCGTTTATCTGTGTGAGGGTTTGCGTCATAATCTTGTTTCTGGTATTGCAATTCACGATCAGGGAATAAATTTTGAATCTGACAAGACTGGACTTAAATTGAGAATGAAAGATGGAGTGATGATGAAAGCTAAGAGAGTTGGTCAGAGGTGGATTTTTAAAGTTCTGAAATCAAGTGTAGAAACGATGGCGATTGGTTCTTATAAGTTGTGGCATGAGAGGTTAGGACACCCGAACGAACGAGTGCTCCGTAAGATGATTGCTGATGGAGCATGCCACGGACTGCCAATGAAGCTTGGTCCGACTGAAAGATGTGAAGTTTGTGCTGATGCGAAGTCTACAAAAACAAATCGGATAGGACCATCATTTATGTCTCATGATCAGCCTCTCAGTTTAATTGTAGCGGACCTGTGTGGACCTTTTCAAACGAAATCTGTGGGGGGGGCGTCGTATTTTTTGAACATCAGGGATGTACATTCAACTTTCATCAAGGTTTATCCGCTTAATCAAAAATTGGACACGATAGCTTGCGTTAAGAGGTACATTGCTGAGGTAGAAAGATTGACCGGATTAAAAGTTAAGAGATGGAGAAATGATGGTGGTAAAGAATTTATGAATCAAGCACTGGAAACCTATCTAGCAAGTCTAGGAATTGTACTAGAGAAGACTATGCGTTATCATCATGAACAAAATGGAACATCTGAACAATCGCAAAGAACAATTCAGTCAATCATGAGATGTTTGCTATTTCAGGAAGACATTCCGAAGTCATTTTGGGGTTTTGCGGTGGCAGCAGCAGCGTATTTACACAATCGAACACCAAACTCTAACACGAATGGGAAATCACCTCAAGAGATACTATTCAAGGAAAAACCACAAGCTGATCATTTGTGTGTTTTTGGATCTTGGGCATTTGTTCATGTACCTCAAGAAATTCGTAAAAAGCTGGATCATCGGGCTGTCAAGTGTAGATTCATAGGTTATCCATCTGGATCGAAAGGATGGAAATTCTGGGACCCTAAAACGAATATGTTTTTGGAGTCAGCTCATGCTGAGTGGTTGGAGGAAGAAGCTAGTAATGAATTCGTAAAACACTCTACCGATGAATGGCCGATTCCAGATAAGACTTCAGGGATTCAGCATTTACTCAATGATTTAAATATCAGTCATGAAGAAGAAGAATTGCTTAGTGTACTTGAAGTAGCGTTTGAATTAGATGATAGTAAGATAACTGAAGGAGTCCGAGAACAAGATGTATTGGTTCAGCACATTCAAATGCTCGCAGCAGGTATTGCGCATAAGATACCATCTGGTTTCAAGACGGCTATGAAGAGTTCTGAGAAAGATCAGTGGAAGCAGGCGTGTGATAAGGAGATTGAGATGTTGAAAAGAATGAATGTGTGGGTTGAAGTGGCGTTACCTGAAGGGAAGAGAGCTGTGTCTACGAAGTGGGTGTTTGCTAAAAAGTTGGATGGAGATGGTGAAGTGAAGAAGTATAAAGCAAGATTTGTGGTCAGGGGTTTCAATCAAGAACAAGGTGTGGATTTTCATGAGACGTTTGCGCCTACTGCTAGATTTGCATCTCTATTGATCATTTTAGCAATATCGGTGTGTAGAGGATGGATAGTGAAG